CCTCGGTGACACAACACAGGACGTCAGCAAGGCTCAGTGTCGGACGAACCTGCATTGGCGACATTACCCAGGACGTCAGCAAGGCTCAGTGTCGGGCGAACCTGCATTGGCGACACAACCCATGACGTCAGCAAGATTCATTGTCGGACGAACCTGCATTGGCGACATTACCCAGGACGTCAGCAAGGCTCAGTGTCGGACGAACCTGCATTGGCGACATTACCCAGGACGTCAGCAAGGCTCAGTGTCGGACGAACCTGCATTGGCGACATTACCCAGGACATCAGCAAGGCTCAGTGTCGGACGAACCTGCGACATATCCCTGACCTATACACGTGGCTGAGTGTTGATGTAATCATGTAAAGTGTTTGGAGTGACAGTTGAGGAAGCTGTCACTTCCGCTAACACCAGAACAGGAAACGAGCGACGCTGCTACATATGAGCAAGTCGTGACATCCATTGTAATGGTATTGCGTTTCAGGATTGCACAGGTCACCTAGTTTTTAAAGCATTTCGCTCGTATTTTTTTATTCGCAACATGGATATTGTTAATATATTGTCAGTTAATATGTTTGTTTGTTTGTTTGTATGTTTGTTGTTTGTTGTTTAACGCCGCACTCATCAGCATTCCATCTATATGACGGCGGTCTCACAATAATCGAGTCTGGACCAGACAATCCGGTGATTGATATCATGAGCATCAATCCACACAATTGGGATACGGTGACATGCATCAACCTGTTAGTAGCCTCTTACGTTAAGCATAGTAGCTTTTAACGGCAAGCATAGGTTGCTGAAGACGTATTCTACCCCGGATCTTTACGGGTCTAGTTATAATGAGATTATTTTTTAGACGGATTTAAATGAAAACAAAATATAAATTTCAATAGAAAGTTTACTCATTGTTATTTATGAAATTTGATAACAGTTGCATGTTTTATTTTATTTAACTCCCTTGCCTCGGAAAGATTGCCATCGTATCCCAATTGCGTAGATCGATGCTCATGATGTCAATCACGGGATTGTCTGGTCCAGACTTTATTATTTACAGCAGTCACACAGCTGGAATATTGCTGAGTACCGTTCGTTGGAGACCAATTCTGACCCGGATATTCACTGGGCAAAATGTGGACAAGTGACTGGGGTGTTGTGCATGTATAACATTATTCCACCAATATCAGGGCGGGGGACAAGAATGGGTTCAACGCATGGGATAACGTAACACAAGTTGTGTGTGACAAGCCAGCGGGTGAAACACTAGACTTACCCAGTAGATTTGGAGGATGTATTGATTACCTCCCTTATTAAATGTTGGAACTAGGGCACAGTGACATGAAAACACACATTGCGGTCAACTTCCCCGGTCGTTCCTCCTCCCAGCGTCATCTGTTTCACTCCTCCCGGCTTGCGAACACGGCCTTGACTCACATATATATGTATACACACGCACATACATACAATAAAATCCCGGTTCGCCCCGATTATGTTTCTAGGTTTGTCAGCACTATATCCGTGCTCGTGGGTTTCACCGGTGGTAAACGTCTGAGATCTGCATCACTTTGGGCTTTTCTCCCACATTAAGCTGACACGCCTCGATATGACTGCAATACTGTTAAAAGCGGAGTTAAACCAAACTCACTCACTCACCCATGCATTCCTCTGACCTTGAATATGTTGTTTGTTTTACAAATACTATCGTTTAACTAATAACAGAAATGCGGATTTATAATGGCAATTGAAACACGTTTCAACGTTGCCCAAACCGTTTATCATACGCTATCTCGCCATCGCGCATCAATGATTTATTCATTAATACGTCAGTAGATGATTTTAAACTTTCATGTGAGGAAAGGTATATAGTTTTATGCAGTATATACCACTACCAGTCTCTGACTTTTTACGTATATGTTATAAATATGAAGCTTTCCTTGAATCAAAATCCTAATTTATCTCAAAGATATATTTCCAAGCATGATCAAATGGTTTGTACCAGAAATGTTAAAGAAATCAAGAACCTTGCAAAAATCATCAAATACTTTGCAAAAACTACCTTTGGGTATGAGTGTATAACACCGCTTTTAACAGTATTCCGGGTATATCGCGGCGTGTCAGCTTAATGTAGGAGGAAAGCCCGAAGTGATCCAGGTCTCAGACGTTTACCACTTCGGTAAAACCCACGAGCACGGGTATGGGTATGGTGCTGACAAGCTTAGAAACATAATCGGGGCAAACCGGGATTCGAACCCACAATCATAGGTTTCTGGTGTGCCCAAGGGACGCAACTCTGCATGGCGAATCGCGGCGCCTTACACGACTTGGCCACCAGTCCCTCAGAAATAATGTGATTGATTGATTGATTGATTGGTAGCGGTGTTAGTGAGCTGCCAATGAAGGGTGTAGCACCATTGAAAAGGAGCGTGTCATAACAGTTTGTTTTTAAAACAAAATATAGTTTAATTCTAAAGTTTCGCTCAAAGAATTGTTTTCGATGCAACCTGTCAGTAAGTGGCTGGTTTTGTCAATACACATGTCTCTGAAATTATGCGAAGATGAAAACTTAGCGTACTCACTTATTTCGGAATTGACACTGAACCCGTTTCGCTGACCCGTGCTGTGGTGACATTGTAGATTAAACAACTCACACACTCATGTGTTCGAAGTCCTATATTTCCTGATATAATGTGAAATGACTAATTACTTTAAACAAATGAAGTTATGTAATATTATGTATCATTTAACTAATAATCCGTACATACATGCATTTGTAGAACACATGGTATCTTTAAAGTTATGAAATAATCAACTTTAAATTTGTCAGGTCACACATTGAGATGAATGTATTATTGGATCGATCGATCCTGTACACCCACCACCGATTGATCAAATGGCAGTGAGCTGACGTCATGGATATTACCCGTGTAGTCACGTGATGGGAACCTGAAGTGAACACAGCTCTGAGACTGTTGCCATGTTAGATTCAAGTGTTTCCGTTTCGCCCGCTGCCAGGTTAGATGTAATGCGATAGTCACGTGACTCTTAGCTCCGGACTACACGACTGTGACACAGTTATACAATTACCAGCTGACACGGCGAGTTTGTGTGTGTTGGTGCTGCTTGTAGCAGCCTCACCTGTGGTTCATGGACACGAAAATATTGCAGCAGTTGTCAATCAGATGAGTTTGCTTGAGAAAGAAATTAACCACCTGAAAGTGGAACTGAACCACTTGAAATCTGATGTTCCAGGAATGGAGACGAGAGTCATAAACAAGATGGACATTTTGGAGTTACTGCTGAGATCGGATTTGACAGAGAAGATTGTACCTTCCTATATACGTAGTCAAATAGAGTCGTTTGATGCCACGGTAAACAGTCACGTGATGTCCCAGATTAGACACCTCAAGCGTGGATATCAGCAGATGAAGCGACAGACACTGAGTCTCACTAGACAGTTGAGGGAGGTCGGACAGACTAAAACAAGACAACCACTGGACACTGTGAAAGACAAAGATGCATGTGAACAGCAGGTGAGTGAACTAAAGACAGAGTTGAACCTGACACGCCATCACGTGACCCATGTTGAAAAGGATGTGAGTTTAGTAAAAAATGACGTGTTACTCGCCATACGACAGAGTGCTGACGTGCACGCACAGATTAATGAAACCCAACGAACAGTTGAGACCCTTGTAAAACAGAATGTACGTTTAAGAAATGACTTGATTGTGATTAACGCTAGTCATGCAGAAGATATGCAGACATTGGGAGACTTTCATCTGAATTACGATAACAAGACACGTGACCTTCAGACCAATGCTGACAGTACACAACCCACCCAACATTACACACCCACGACTCCATCTGGACGTCCCTTCACGTCAGTGGCCACAACACCTACAACACGACAGTTTCAAGACAAGACGAGAATATTGGTTGTACAATATATATCTGGCTCCTTACAGCATCCCCATCAGATTACCATAGATAAAAACGACATGAAGACGTATCCTTATCTGCATACATCACACGTTGTTGCTGTAACATACGAGCCTGTGTCCAGGAGACTGATATTCAGTAGATATTCACCAAATGGCATCTTCTCTTCAAGGCTGGACGTGTCGGGTGTCACAACACTACGAGAGGGAATCACGTCGTACGGAATGACAGTCGATGTTGACAGACGACTCATCTTCCTTACCACATACCATCCGACGAAGACAATCAGTCGTATGTCAACATTTGGGAGAAACTTTCAGGGCATTGTGGACTTGCGTAATCACGGAACAGACAATCCCCGTGGCATTGCTGTAGACTCCAGGAAGAAGATGATCTATTTCTGTAAAGATGATGATGGATTGTGGTCTGTTGATTATAATGGGAATAGGCTGCATCAGATAGACATGAGACGTTACGTTTATGCTGCTACTATTGACACTATTCACGATGTCCTATATTTCAGCGACAACAAGAAGGTGATAAAGCGATCTTTATCAACTAATACTACAACGGAAATGTTGGAATTCAGTGATAGGATAAGAAGCCTTGTCTACTACAACAACAGCCTGTACATAAGTGGAAAGAATATTGATGTCATATACCTGGAAAACGACGTACATTTCAACCTGAAGACAATGAAGTATAGTTACAATGTAATGTGTTTGATTCCGTGATCACATCTGTCTTAAAAGAGACTCCTACACGATACTTTAGCACAGGGACATCGTAGGAAAATGGAAATATTCTCACAACCAGTTACACAGATGGCCACAAGTTTTTAGATAGAGCGATCATTATTTTGATAATAATACTGTTACACAGAGTGTAGGACGTATGTTGAACACTTCAGGGGGCGCTCGTGCCTAGCAGCCTTAACACCGCTGCCACCAGAACCGAATTACTTTTAGTCTTAGTTTGTATCTATGTCATATGATTATTGAAATGTAATGTGTAATGCATGTTGTAGTATTGGTCTACCGAATTTCCTTCTGCTGAATGATTACCCATAGTTAGGGAACCGGGGTGGCGGGAAAAGCTGGGATCCTTGAGGTGGCGGGGGAACCTGTTTTGCCTGGGGAGCTTGCAGGACCTGGGCTCCCTGGGGTGGCGAGGCAAAAGCAAGGGACCCTGAAGTGGCGGGTGAACCTTGTGTCCCTGAGATGGCGGACAAAGCTTGGCTCCCTGAGGTGGCAGGGAAAGCTGGGGTGGCAGAAAAAGCTGGGCTCCCTGTAGTGGCGTGGAAATCTGGGGTGGCGGAGAAATCTGGTCTCCCTGAGGTGGCTGAGAAAGCTGGGCCCCCTGAGGTGGCGGGGGAAGTATAGGCTCCCTGAGGTGGCGGGGAAGCCTGGGGTGCCTGGGCGGCTGAGGAAGCTGGTCTCCCTGAGGTGGCGGGGGAACCTAGGCTCCCTGAGGTGGCTGAGAAAGCTTTGCTCCCTGAGGTGGCGGGGGAACCCAAGGGTCCCTGAGGTGGCGTGGGATCCTGGGCTCCCCGGGATGTGGGAAAACCTAGGTTCCCTGAAGTGGCGGGTGAACCAAGGGTGCCTGTGGTGGCTGAGAAAGCTGGGCTCCCTAAGAGGTTTGGGGAAAGATGGGCTCCCTAAGGTGGCGGGTGAACCCAAGGGTCCCTGAGGTGGCGTGGGATCCTGGGCTCCCTGGGATGTGGGAAAAGCTGGGTTCCCTGAGGTGGCGGGTGAACCTGGGGAGGCGGGGGAACCTGGGCTCCCTGGGGTGGCGGAGGAACCTGGGGTGGCGGGTGAACCTGGGCTCCCTGGGGTGGCGGAGGAACCTGGGGTGGCGGGTGAACCTGGGCTCCCTGAAGTGGCGGGTGAACCTGGGGTGCCTGGGGTGGCGGGTGAACCTGGGGTGCCTGGGGCGCCTGGGGAGGCGGCTGAACCTGGGGTACCTGGGGTGGCGGGTGAACCTGGGGTGCCTAGGGTGCCTGGGGTGGCGGGTGAACCTAGGGTGCCTGGGGCGCCTGGGGAGGCGGGTGAACCTGGGGTTCCTGGGGTGGCGGGTGAACCTGGGGTGCCTGGGGTGGCGGGTGAACCTGGGGAGGCGGGTGAACCTGGGGTGCCTGGGGTGGTGGGTGAACCTGGGGTGTCTGGGGTGTCTGGTGAACCTGGGCAGACGGGGGAACCTGGGCTCCCTGAGGTGGCGGGTGAACCTCGGGTGCCTGGGGTGGCGGGTGAACCTGGGGAGGCGGGTGATCCTGGGGTGCCTGAGCAGGCGGGTGAACCTGGGGTGCCTGGGGTACCTTGGGTGGCGGGTGAACCAAGGGAGGCGGGTTAAACTGGGGTGCCTGGGGTGGCGGGTGAACCTGGGCTCCCTGAGTTAGCGGGGGAAGCTGGGGCGGCGGGGGAACCTTGGCTTCCCTGAGGTGGCGGGGGAACCTGGGCTCCCTGAGGTTGCGGGGTAAGCTGGGCTCTCTAAGGTGGCGAGGGTCATAATAATACTGTACACAGGCGATCCAAAAAAGAGAATTAATTGCTAATACAGAATGAGAATGATAATTTGCGAGAAACGACATTCGTGACTACTTTGGAAGTATCCTGATTTATATTGAGTTATTAGAGAGCAACCATTTGATTTTCAAAGAGGGGTGGGTGGATTTTGATTTCTTTCTCGATTATTCAAGAAAAGGGCACAATACATATTTTCGGCAAAATAAGGGCTTGATTATTATATTAGAACTCTCCCCGGCCACCAACCACCACCCCCCAACCCCCAACCCCCACCCCCAACCCCCCAACACACACACACCTCATTGAAAATCAAATGGGTATACATTGTATTTGAAATATTGTTCAAAGCCGCGTCAAAACCGACCGCACCCAAAACAGACCTAATTAAGGCACAGAGATCCTTGGAAAACTGTGATGCCACTGCAGCATACATGACCATAAACATTCACTTAAACACATACCGACGAGAACTGTGATTGGTTATCGGTGTTTGATGACTCAAGTGTAAATAAAAACGACAAACCCTTTCCTTAATCTATTATGATGACATCACGCCATTGTTCTTGCAGTTGATTCTGCTTTTACGGGTCATTCTGAACGTGCATTTTGAAACTGACGCAACTACATGTCTTTATACAAAATTATAGAGGAATTATGTTTCAATCAAAACATGGTTTAAATCAGAGCGTGAGTGAATATGGTTTTATCATATAATGGGTAGGTTTCTCGGCAGGATAAAGCCAACGGATAAAAACGATATCCGTTGGGGTCATATGCGGATAGAGATGCAAATATCAAAGGTCAAGTAGGGACTACTTTACCTGTTTATAAACAAACATGGCGTCGCCCTCGTCATTCGACGATCGAGTCAGATTTAACCATCGTGAATCTGGATAAACTACAGAGATAATTGCTTTCATTATCAAAAGGACAGTCTAATATACTGAAAATCAGTGTCTTACTGTGACGCAGCTAAGGCATTTTATAAGTTTTGGCAACTTCGGAGATATAAATTTCGAAACAATTTTGCGAGGGCACGAGGCCTAGCCAAGCGAGATCAGTAGCCATGACTGGTAGACCTCTGCGGCTTGAAACCTTCTCCACAAATTGAAATGGTTGGATTTGGCCGAAATATGTTTGAATTGTTACCTTGTTTCGTTTTTTCGCTCTGTGTACATCTGACTACACTTCTTAACGTTATGACAGGACAGACCGACTGCCAACAACGTCTGACCATGGCCGTGACGTCTCATAGACTAGGGTTAGAGTAGCTTCCCTTTGACAAAGGGCAGTTACTCTAGCGGACAGACCGATGGATTGCCGCGAAAGGCAATTAAAAACAATTGTTGTTTTGCGTATATGTTGCTTCGCCACTGTATAAGAAACAGATTTCAGTTGGAACTATATTGGCTACTGTCACTGTCCGACTGACACATCACTTACCCTGTGACGTAATACATATTAATGCGCGCATTCCAGGGAAACTCGCAATGTTTCGGTAATGTTTGTGAGAGGGAAAGCGATTTTGAAGCGCAGAATTAAAGAATGACATTATATGATAAAGAGGTTATCACGCTTGTGTGTTTGGGGATGGTAAATATCTTGTATTAGGAATAAACACTATGTATTCCTAATGCAGGATATTTACCATCCCCAAACACACTCGCGTGATAACCTCTATTTACGCTGCTTTTAACAATATTTAGCAAAATCACGACTGGGGACACCAGAATGGGCTTCACACATTGTATCTATGTGGGGAATCGAACCCGGGTCTTCGATATGACGAGTGAAGGCCTACTAGGCTACCCCACCGCCCATGAAGTCGCCTGAATCTTTTGATTCCAGACGAATTATCTCTTCACTTCGGCGAATTGTTCGCGATAGAATGTTGATATAAAATGAATAATCTGGAATAATTGCTGCTTGGCCACCGTCACATCATTAAACCGCCCCTGCTGTGTAGTGAGTGTCAATGAACGTTCTCCAAATAACTACTCACTGACAGAAACAGTTACCAAGTTACTTAGCGAAATTCACTGCCCAATCAGACTCAAGGTTGTTACGAGATTTTACCGATCAGTAAGTAAATATTTGCTAACTAGACTAGTACATGTGGTCTATCGTAGACTAGTGCAGTTTACTTATCAGTTATTAAAGATTACTATCCGCTTTTCAAAGAATCCTCTTCTCAGTATTTACTAATTTGCAATAGTATATTTACAGAGCTTGTATGGTTTACTAGACTTTAATAAAGGCTTGTTTCGCGATCCCTATTGATAGCTGATGAATACAATTTGCAAAATACAAGTAAAAAACATGGAAAATACAGGTGATAGATAACATATCAATATTTTCAGTGGCATTTTCAGTTTAATACTACCTAACCGTAATTATTTGTTTGTTTGTGTTTTGTTTAACGCCGCACTCAGCAATATTCCAGCTACATGACGGCGACAAGGAAAGTCGTCTTTTACCGCAAACATTGGTTGCTGAAGACCTATTCTCTACCCGGATCTTCACGGGTCAAGTTGGTTCCAAAAGTAACATTTTATCAATCGCCCACACGTTGTAAATACATGCTGACGGGGATTATAGGAAATATGGAGACCTGAACATTAATATATGTTTACCTGATTTTTATCTCTTCAAAGATTAATCTAATTGCTTTAAATACGAACATTCTTTTTGTAACCTGCTGTAACAACATTATATACATAATATGTTTTTAAGGGTTTTACGGGTGGCCTCGGCTCCATTGGGATGACGTTGGAATCTGTGGTCCCTGGAGCGGCGGGTAAATCTGTGGTCCCTGGGTTGGTGGGGGACCCTGGGCTTACTGGGGTGGTGGGGGAATCTGTGGTCCTTGGATGGCGGGGGAACCTTGGCTCCCTGGGGTAGCAGGTGAACGTGGTTTCCCTGAGGTGGCGGGGGAACCTGGGCTGCCTGGAGCGGCGGAGGAATCTGTGGTCCTTGAGATGGCGGGGGAACCTTGACTCCATGGGACGGCGGGGGAACCTGGGCTCCATGGGGAAGCGGGAGAATCTCTTCTCCCTGGGGAACATTGGTTCCATGGGGAGGTGGGGTAACCAGGGCCCCTGGAGCGGCGGGGCAACAGGGGCTCCCTGGCTCCCTGGGGAACCTGGGCTCCCTGGGTCGGCGGGGAAACTTCGGCTAACAGGGTCGGTGGTGGAACTTGGGCTCCCTGAGGCGGCAGGGCAACATGGGCTCCCTGGAGAGCCGGGGTCATCTGGGCTTCCTGGGTCGGCGGGAGAATCTGGACTCCCTGGGATGGTGGGGGAACCTGTGTTCCCTGAGGTGGGAGGAAAACCTGGGCTCCCTGGGGAGGCTGGGTAACCTTGGCACCCTCGGGAGGCGGGGCAACATGGGCTCCCTTGGGTGGCGGGGGAATCTGGACTCCCTAGTTGAGGTCGGAGGGGAACCTGCAGTCCCTGGAGCGGCGGGGGGAATCTGTGCTCCTTGAGATGGCGGGGGAACCTTGGCTCCCTTGGGTGGCGGGGGAATCTGGACTCCCTGGGATGGCGTTGGAATCGGTGGTCCCTTGGGTGGCGGGGAACATGGGCTCCCTAGTTTGGCGGGGGAACCTGGGCTCCCTGAGGTCGCAGGGGAACCTGCAGTCCCTGGAGCGGCGGGGGGAATCTGTGCTCCTTGAGATGGCGGGGGAACCTTGGCTCCCTTGGGTGGCGGGGGAATCTGGACTCCCTGGGATGGCGTTGGAATCGGTGGTCCCTTGGGTGGCGGGGAACATGGGCTCCCTAGTTTCGCGGGGGAACCTGGGCTCCCTGAGGTCGCAGGGGAACCTGCAGTCCCTGGAGCGGCGGGGGAATCTATGCTCCTTGAGATGGCGGGGGAACCTGGTCTCTCTGAGATGGCGGTTGAACCTGCTGCGCCACGGCACGCGATCCGGAAAAGAGGATGATTGCTGATACAGAATGAGAATGATATTTTGCAAATTGCGAGAGAACGAAACGATAAACGACCATCATTTTGTTTAATGTTTAGGAGTTCAAGTACTCTTTCCAATACACTGACTTCTCGATACGTCAACAGATGGGCACATAACATATTTTGGGTAAAATAAGGGCTTGATTATTAAAATAGAACTCCCCCCACACACCCTACCTTCTTGAAAATGAAATGGCAAAATTTGAAATATTGTTCAAAGCCGCGTTTAAACCAACCGCACCCAAAAATCGACCTCATTAAAGAACGGAGATCCTTCCACGTTTTAAACCTGTCCAGTTCGTTTGTAACGGGACACATCTTCTGGACATTTCAGGATATCACGGAGACCAGGATCAACGGGGACTTTGTTGTGGGGTTATGGTATTTGTTCTGAACAATCATGACATATTGCACGTAAATAACAGACAAGATGCCCATGTTAAGGAATCCCGAATGTTAGAATCACGAAATATCGCGATGATTAATTGACAATGAGGGAAGCCTTTGTGCTGATACTTATAAAGTAGGTCAGCTGAAGATGCGGGTTAGAATAGTCCTTCAACAACCCATGCTTGTCGAAAGAGGCCACTCGGGTGGTCAGACTCGCTGACTTGGTTGATGCATGTCGATGTTCATGGTGTTAGTCACTGGATTGTCTGGTCCAGACTTGATTTATTTACAGACCGGCGTCATATAGTATGTTTATATCTGAGTGTGGCGTTAAACAACAAATAAACAAAGCAGATGAATTGTAATCAGTTCTCAGAAACTTTCTATTGATGTCTACCGCTCATAAAATGGAAACAAGCCAAGTTGGGATAAACATCCCTTTGATCACGTGGTTACAATCCGGGTAAGGGTCCATGGTCAGGTGACTGCAAGCGGTCATATTTAGCAGTGATCTTGGTCGGAGGTTTTTTTAAATACTACATCTGCACACACTTTTCTTACACTTCGTGCTGGTAATGTACGTACACTGAACACGCTGCAAAATATAGTCGCTTGCAGTCACCTGACTGACGATTCTTAGTCGGATGGTAAATTGGGTTTAACGTCGGTTTGAACAGTAGTTTTTGGCATCACAGCTTGTTAGCTTAATGTGGGAGGAAATCCCGAAGTAATGGGGGACATATAGTCGTTTTGGGGGGCACGGGGGCACGGGGGCACGGGGGAGCTCAGTCATGTAAGGCACCGCAATTCGCTGTGCAGATTTGCGTCCCTTAGGCCCGCCAGAAACCTATGATTATGGGTTCGAATCCAGGTTCGCCCCGATTAGGTTTCTAGGTTTGTCAGCACCATACCCGCGCTCGTGGGTTTCACCGAAGTGGTAAACGTCTGGGGGTTTGGGTCAATTTTGGAAATAGATAATTGCTATAGTGTGTCAGCTTAATGTGGGAGGAAAGAAGACCGAAGTGATGCAGGTCTCAGACATTTACCACTTGGGTGAAACTATCAAACCTAGAAACATGGGGCGAACAGGCATTTAAACCCACATTCATAGGTTTCTGGCATACCAAAGTGACGCAACAGTGCACGGCGAATGGCGGCGCCTCAGACGATGTGGCCACCTGTGCCCCCGTTGTTTAAAGAAATAATGTGATTGATTGATTGATTGATTGATTGATTGATTGATTGATTGATTGATTGCGGTGTTAGTGAGCTGCCAGTGACAAGGAAGAGGAACGTGTCACAATAGTTTGTTTTTAAAACAAAATATAGTATAATTCTAAGGTTTCGATCAAAGAATTGTTTTCCATGCAACCTGTGAGTAAGTGGCTGGTTTTGTCAATACACATGTCTCTGAAATTATGCAAAGAGGAAAACGTACTCACGTATTTCGTAATTGATACTGAACTGTTTCGCTGACCTGTGCTATGGTGACATTGCAGATTAAACAACTCACACTCTCATGTGTTAGAAGTTATATCTTTCCTGATATAATGGGAATTGACAAATTACTTTAAACACATGAAGTTGTGTAATAGTATGCATACTTTAACTAATAATCCGTACATATATATATATATATATATATATATATATATATATATATATATATATATATATATATATATATATATATATATTTGTAGAACATGTGGTATTTCTAAGTTTTGAAATTATCAACTTTAAATTTGTCAGGTCACACATTGAGATGAATGTATTATTGGATCGATCCATCCTGTACACCCACCACTGATTGATCAAATGGCAGTGAGCTGACTTCATGGATATTACCCGTGTAGTCACGTGATGGGAAACTCAAGTGAACACTGCTCTGAGACTGTTGCCATGTTAGATTCAAGTGTTTCCGTTTGGCCCGCTGCCAGGTTAGATGTAATGCGATAGTCACGTGACAATTAGCTCCGGACTACACGACTCTGACACAGTTATACAATTACCAGCTGACATGGCGAGTTTGTGTGTGTTGGTGCTGCTTGTAGCAGCCTCATCTGTGGTTCATGGACACGAAAATATCGCAGCAGTTGTCAATCAGATGAGTTTGCTTGAGAAAGAAATTAACCACCTGAAAGTGGAATTGAACCACTTGAAATCTGACGTTCCAGGAATGGAGACGAGAGTCATCAACAAGATGGACATTTTGGAGTTACTGCTGAGATCGGATTTGACGGAGAAGATTGTACCTTCCTATATGCGTAGTCAAATAGAGTCGTTGGATGACACGGTAAACAGTCACGTAATGTCCCAGATTAGACACCTCAAGCGTGGATATCAGCAGATGAAGCGACAGACACTGAGTCTCACTAGACAGTTGAGGGAGGTCGGACAGACTAAAACAAGACAACCACTGGACACTGTGAAAGACAAAGATGCATGTGAACAGCAGGTGAGTGAACTAAAGACAGAGTTGAACCTGACACGCCATCACGTGACCCATGTTGAAAAGGATGTGAGTTTAGTAAAAAATGACGTGTTACTCGCCATACGACAGAGTGCTGACGTGCACGCACAGATTAATGAAACCCAACGAACAGTTGAGACCCTTGTAAAACAGAATGTACGTTTAAGAAATGACTTGATTGTGATTAACGCTAGTCATGCAGAAGATGTGCAGACATTAGGAGACTTTCATCTGAATTACGATAACAAGACACGTGACCTTCAGACCAATGCTGACAGAACACAACCCATCCAACATTACACACCCACGACTCCATCTGGACGTCCCTTCACGTCAGTGGCCACAACACCTACAACACGACAGTTTCAAGACAAGACGAGAATATTGGTTGTACAATATATATCTGGCTCCTTACAACATCCCCATCAGATTACCATAGATAAAAACGACATGAAGACGTATCCTTATCTGCATACATCACACGTTGTTGCTGTTACATACGAGCCTGTGTCCAGGAGACTGATATTCAGTAGATATTCACCAAATGGCATCTTCTCTTCAAGGCTGGACGTGTCGGGTGTCACAACACTACGAGAGGGAATCACGTCGTACGGAATGACAGTCGATGTTGACAGACGACTCATCTTCCTTACCACATACCATCCGACGAAGACAATCAGTCGTATGTCCACATTTGGGAGAAACTTTCTGGGCATTGTGGACTTACGTAATCACGGAACATCCAATCCCCGTGGCATTGCTGTAGACTCCAGGAAGAAGATGATCTATTTCTGTAAAAATCATGATGGGTTGTGGTCTGTTGATTATAATGGGAATAGGCTGCATCAGATAGACATGAGACGTGACGTTATTGCTGTTACTATTGACACTATTCACGATGTCCTATATTTCAGCGACAACAAGAAGGTGATAAAGCGATCTTTATCAACTAATACTACAACGGAAATGATGGAATTTAGTGACAGGATTAGAAGCCTTGTCTACTACAACAACAGCCTGTACATAAGTGGAAAGAATATTGATGTCATATACCTGGAAAACGACGTACATTTCAACCTGAAGACAATGAAGTATAGTTACAATGTAATGTGTTTGATTCCGTGATCACATCTGTCTTAAAAGAGACTCCTACACGATACTTTAGCACAGGGACATCGTAGGAAAATGGAAATATTCTCACAACCAGTTACACAGATGGCCACAAGTTTTTAGATAGAGCGACCATTATTTTGATAATAATACTGTTACACAGAGTGTAGGACGTATGTTGAACACTTCAGGGGGCGCTCGTGCCTAGCAGCCTTAACACCGCTGCCACCAGAACCGAATTACTTTTAGTCTTAGTTTGTATCTATGTCATATGTTTATTGAAATGTAATGTGTATTGTATGTTGTAGTATTGGTAAACCGAATTTCCTTCTGCTGAATGATTACCCATAGTTAGGGAACCGGGGATGCGGTAAAAAGCTGGGATCCCTGAGGTGGCGGGGGAACCTGTTTTGCCTGGGGAGCTTGCAGGACCTGGGCTCCCTGGGGTGGCGAGGCAAAAGCAAGGGACCCTGAAGTGGCGGGTGAACCTTGTGTCCCTGAGATGGCGGAGAAAGCTTGGCTCCCTGAGGTGGCAGGGAAAGCTGGGGTGGCAGAAAAAGCTGGGCTCCCTGTAGTGGCGGGGAAATCTTGGGTGGCGGAGAAATCTGGTCTCCCTGAGGTGGCTGAAAAAGCTGGCCCCCTGAGGTGGCGGGGGAAGTATAGGCTCCCTGAGGTGGCGGGGAAGCCTGGGGTGCCTGGGCGGCTGAGGAAGCTGGTCTCCCTGAGGTGGCGGGGGAACCTAGGCTCCCTGAGGTGGCTGAGAAAGCTGGGCTCACTGAGGTGGCGGGGAAACCCAAGGGTCCCTGAGGTGGCGTGGGATCCTGGGCTCCCCGGGATGTGGGAAAACCTGGGTTCCCTGAAGTGGCGGGTGAACCAAGGGTGCCTGTGGTGGCTGAGAAAGCTGGGCTCCCTAAGAGGTTTGGGGAAAGATGGGCTCCCTAAGGTGGCGGGTGAACCCAAGGGTCCCTGAGGTGGCGTGGGATCCTGGGCTCCCTGGGATGTGGGAAAAGCTGGGTTCCCTGAGGTGGCGGGTGAACCTGGGCTCCCTGGGGTGGCGGAGGAACCTGGGGTGCCTGGGGTGGCGGGTGAACCTGGGGTGCCTGGGGCGCCTTGGGAGGCGGCTGAACCTGGGGTACCTGGGGTGGCGGGTGAACCTGGGGTCCCTGGGGTGGCGGGTGAACCTGGGGTGCCTGGGGCGCCTGGCGTGGCGGGTGAACCTGGGGTGCCTAGGGTGCCTGGGGTGGCGGGTGAACCTAGGGTGCCTGGGGCGCCTGGGGAGGCGGGTGAACCTGGGGTTCCTGGGGTGGCGGGTGAACCTGGGGTGCCTGGGGTGGCGGGTGAACCTGGGGAGGCGGGTGAACCTGGGGTGCCTGGGGTGGTGGGTGAACCTGGGGTGTCTGGGGTGTCTGGTGAACCTGGGCAGACGGGGGAACCTGGGCTCCCTGAGGTGACGGCTGAACCTGGGGTACCTGGGGTGGCGGGTGAACCTGGGGTGCCTGGGGTGGCGGGTGAACCTGGGGTGCCTGGGGCGCCTGGCGTGGCGGGTGAACCTGGGGTGCCTAGGGTGCCTGGGGTGGCGGGTGAACCTAGGGTGCCTGGGGTGGCGGGTGAACCTGGGGAGGCGGGTGATCCTGGGGTGCCTGAGCAGGCGGGTGAACCTGGGGTGCCTGGGGTACCTTGGGTGGCGGGTGAACCAAGGGAGGCGGGTTAAACTGAGGTGCCTGGGGTGGCGGGTGAACCTGGGCTCCCTGAGTTAGCGGGGGAAGCTGGGGCGGCGGGGGAACCTTGGCTTCCCTGAGGTGGCGGGGGAACCTGGGCTCCCTGAGGTTGCGGGGTAAGCTGGGCTCTCTAAGGTGGCGAGGGTCATAATAATACTGTACACAGGCGATCCAAAAAAGAGAATTAATTGCTAATACAGAATGAGAATGATAATTTGCGAGAAACGACATTCGTGACTACTTTGGAAGTATCCTGATTTATATTGAGTTATTAGAGAGCAACCATTTGATTTTCAAAGAGGGGTGGGTGGATTTTGATTTCTTTCTCGATTATTCAAGAAAAGGGCACAATACATATTTTCGGCAAAATAAGGGCTTGATTATTATATTAGAACTCTCCCCGGCCACCAACCACCACCCCCCAACCCCCAACCCCCACCCCCAACCCCCCAACACACACACACCTCATTGAAAATCAAATGGGTATACATTGTATTTGAAATATTGTTCAAAGCCGCGTCAAAACCGACCGCACCCAAAACAGACCTAATTAAGGCACAGAGATCCTTGGAAAACTGTAATGCCACTGCAGCATACATGACCATAAACATTCACTTAAACACATACCGACGAGAACTGTGATTGGTTATCGGTGTTTGATGACTCAAGTGTAAATAAAAACGACAAACCCTTTCCTTAATCTATCATGATGACATCACGCCATTGTTCTTGCAGTTGATTCTGATTTTACGGGTCATTCTGAACGTGCATTTTGAAACTGACGCAACTACATGTCTTTATACAAAATTATAGAGGAATTATGTTTCAATCAAAACATGGTTTAAATCAGAGCGTGAGTGAATATGGTTTTATCATATAATGGGTAGGTTTCTCGGCAGGATAAAGCCAACGGATAAAAACGATATCCGTTGGGGTCATATGCGGATAGAGATGCAAATATCAAAGGTCAAGTAGGGACTACTTTACCTGTTTATAAACAAACATGGCGTCGCCCTCGTCATTCGACGATCGAGTCAGATTTAACCATCGTGAATCTGGATAAACTACAGAGATAATTGCTTTCATTATCAAAAGGACAGTCTAATATACTGAAAATCAGTGTCTTACTGTGACGCAGCTAAGGCATTTTATAAGTTTTGGCAACTTCGGAGATATAAATTTCGAAACAATTTTGCGAGAGCACGAGGCCTAGCCAAGCGGGATCAGTAGCCATGACTGGTAGACCTCTGCGGCTTGAAACCTTCTCCACAAATTGAAATGGTTGGATTTGGCCGAAATATGTTTGAATTGTTACCTTGTTTCGTTTTTTCGCTCTGTGTACATCTGACTACACTTCTTAACGTTATGACAGGACAGACCGACTGCCAACAACGTCTGACCATGGCCGTGACGTCTCATAGACTAGGGTTAGAGTAGCTTCCCTTTGACGAAGGGCAGTTACTCTAGCGGACAGACCGATGGATTGCCGCGAAAGGCAATTAAAAACAATTGTTGTTTTGCGTATATGTTGCTTCGCCACTGTATAAGAAACAGATTTCAGTTGGAACTATATTGGCTACTGTCACTGTCCGACTGACACATCACTTACCCTGTGACGTAATACATATTAATGCGCGCATTCCAGGGAAACTCGCAATGTTTCGGTAATGTTTGTGAGAGGGAAAGCGATTTTGAAGCGCAGAATTAAAGAATGACATTATATGATAAAGAGGTTATCACGCTGGTGTGTTTGGGGATGATAAATATCCTGTATTAGGAATAAACACTATGTAATCCTAATGCAGGATATTTACCATCCCCAAACACACTCGCGTGATAACCTCTATTTACGCTGCTTTTAACAATATTTAGCAAAATCACGACTGGGGACACCAGAATGGGCTTCACACATTGTATCTATGTGGGGAATCGAACCTGGGTCTTCGATATGACGAGTGAAGGCCTACTAGGCTACCCCACCGCCCATGAAGTCGCCTGGATCTTTTGATTCCAGACGAATTATCTCTTCACTTCGGCGAATTGTTCGCGATAGAATGTTGATATAAAATGAATAATCTGGAATAATTGCTGCTTGGCCACCGTCACATCATTACACCGCCCCTGCTGTGTAGTCAATGTCAATGAACGTTCTCCAAATAACTACTCACTGACAGAAACAGTTACCAAGTTACTTAGCGAAATTCACTGCCCAATCAGACTCAAGGTTGTTACGAGATTTTACCGATCAGTAAGTAAATATTTGCTAATTAGACTAGTACATGTGGTCTATCGTAGACTAGTGCAGTTTACTTATCAGTTATTAAAGATTACTATCCGCTTTTCAAAGAATCTTCTTCTCAGTATTTACTAATTTGCAATAGTATATTTACAGAGCTTGTATGGTTTACTAGACTTTAATAAAGGCTTGTTTCGCGATCCCTATTGATAGCTGATGAATACAATTTGCAAAATACAAGTAAAAAACATGGAAAATACAGGTGATAGATAACATATCAATATTTTCAGTGGCATTTTCAGTTTAATACTACCTAACCGTAATTATTTGTCTGTTTGTGTTTTGTTTAACGCCGCACTCAGCAATATTCCAGCTACATGACGGCGACAAGGAAAGTCGTCTTTTACCGCAAACATTGGTTGCTGAAGACCTATTCTCTACCCGGATCTTCACGGGTCAAGTTGGTTCCAAAAGTAACATTTTATCAATCGCCCACACGTTGTAAATACATGCTGACGGGGATTATAGGAAATATGGAGACCTGAACATTAATATATGTTTACCTGATTTTTATCTCTTCAAAGATTAATCTAATTGCTTTAAATACGAACATTCTTTTTGTAACCTGCTGTAACAACATTATATACATAATATGTTTTTAAGGGTTTTACGGGTGGCCTCGGCTCCATTGGGATGACGTTGGAATCTGTGGTCCCTGGAGCGGCGGGTAAATCTGTGGTCCCTGGGTTGGTGGGGGACCCTGGGCTTACTGGGGTGGTGGGGGAATCTGTGGTCCTTGGATGGCGGGGGAACCTTGGCTCCCTGGGGTAGCAGGTGAACGTGGTTTCCCTGAGGTGGCGGGGGAACCTGGGCTGCCTGGAGCGGCGGAGGAATCTGTGGTCCTTGAGATGGCGGGGGAACCTTGACTCCATGGGACGGCGGGGGAACCTGGGCTCCATGGGGAGGCGGGAGAATCTCTTCTCCCTGGGGAACATGGGTTCCATGGGGAGGTGGGGTAACCAGGGCCCCTGGAGCGGCGGGGCAATAGGGGCTCCCTGGCTCCCTGGGGAACCTGGGCTCCCTGGGTCGGCGGGGAAACTTCGGCTAACAGGGTCGGTGGTGGAACTTGGGCTCCCTGAGGCGGCAGGGCAACATGGGCTCCCTGGAGAGCCGGGGTCATCTGGGCTTCCTGGGTCGGCGGGAGAATCTGGACTCCCTGGGATGGTGGGGGAACCTGTGTTCCCTGAGGTGGGAGGAAAACCTGGGCTCCCTGGGGAGGCTGGGTAACCTTGGCACCCTCGGGAGGCGGGGCAACATGGGCTCCCTTGGGTGGCGGGGGAATCTGGACTCCCTAGTTGAGGTCGGAGGGGAACCTGCAGTCCCTGGAGCGGCGGGGGGAATCTGTGCTCCTTGAGATGGCGGGGGAACCTTGGCTCCCTTGGGTGGCGGGGGAATCTGGACTCCCTGGGATGGCGTTGGAATCGGTGGTCCCTTGGGTGGCGGGGAACATGGGCTCCCTAGTTTGGCGGGGGAACCTGGGCTCCCTGAGGTCGCAGGGGAACCTGCAGTCCCTGGAGCGGCGGGGGGAATCTGTGCTCCTTGAGATGGCGGGGGAACCTTGGCTCCCTTGGGTGGCGGGGGAATCTGGACTCCCTGGGATGGCGTTGGAATCGGTGGTCCCTTGGGTGGCGGGGAACATGGGCTCCCTAGTTTGGCGGGGGAACCTGGGCTCCCTGAGGTCGCAGGGGAACCTGCAGTCCCTGGAACGGCGGGGGAATCTATGCTCCTTGAGATGGCGGGGGAACCTGGTCTCTCTGAGATGGCGGTTGAACCTGCTGCGTCACGCCACGCGATCCGGAAAAGAGGATGATTGCTGATACAGAATGAGAATGATATTTTGCAAATTGCGAGAGAACGAAACGATAAACGACCATCATTTTGTTTAATGTTTAGGAGTTCAAGTACTCTTTCCAATACACTGACTTCTCGATACGTCAATACCTGAGATGGGCACATAACATATTTTGGGTAAAATAAGGGCTTGATTATTAAAATAGAACTCACCCCACACACCCTACCTTCTTGAAAATGAAATGGCAAAATTTGAAATATTGTTCAAAGCCGCGTTTAAACCAACCGCACCCAAAAATCGACCTCATTAAAGAACGGAGATTCTTCCCCGTTTTAAACCTGTCCCGTTCGTTTGTAACGGGACACATCTTCTGGACGTTTCAGGATATCACGGAGACCAGGATCAACGGGGACTTTGTTGTGGGGTTATGGTATTTGTTCTGAATAATCATGACATATTGCACGTAAATAACAGACAAGGTGCTCATGTTAAGAAATCACGAATGTTAGAACCACGAAATATCGCGATGATCAATTAACAACGAGGGAAGCCTTTGTGCTGATACTTATAAAGTAGGTCAGCTGAAGATGCGGGTTAGAATAGGCCTTGAGCAACCCATGCTTGTCGCAAGAGGCGACTGAAGGGATCGGATGGTTAGGCTCGCTGACTTGGTTGATGCATGTCGATGTTCATGGTGTAAGTCACTGGATTGTCTGGTCCAGACTTGAATTATTTACAGACCGGCGTCATATAGTATGTGTATATCTGAGTGTGGCGTTAAACAACAAATAAACAAACCAGATCATTTGTAATCAGTTCTCAGAACTTTTCTTCTGATGGCTTCTCATTTGTAACTCATAAAATGGAAACAAACCAAATTGGGATAAACATCCTTTTGATCACGTGGGGTCATATTTAGCAGTGTTCTTGGTCGATAGTGTTTTTTAAGTACTACATCAGCACCTACTTTAATTTCACTTCGTGCTGGAAATGTGGTACACTGAACACGCTGCAAGATATAGTCGTTTGCAGTCACCTGACTGACGATTCTTAGTCGGATTGTAAATTGGGTTTAACGCCGGTTTGGACAGTATTTTTTTGGCATCACAGCTTGTTAGCTTAATGTGGGAGGAAAGCCCGAAGTAATGGGGCACATATGGTCGTTTTAGGGGGAACGGGGACACGGGGGAGCTCAGTCATGTAAGGCATGTTAGGCCCGCCAGAGACCTATGATTATGGGTTCGAATCCAGGTTCGCCCCGATTAGGTTTCTAGGTTTGTCAGCACCATACCCGTGCTCGTGGGTTTCACCGAAGTGATAAACGTCTGAGGGTTTGGGTCAATTTTGGAAATATATAATTGCTATAGTGAGTGAGTTGGGTTTAACGCCGGTTTTAATAGTATTTCAGTTATATCACGGCGTGTCAGCTTAATGTGGGATGAAAAAATCCCGAAGTGATGTAGGTCTCAGACATTTAGCACTTTGGTGAAACTATCGAGCACGGGTATGGTGCTGACAAACCTAGAAACATAGGGCGAACAGGGATTTAAACCCACAGTCATAGGTTTCTGGCATGCCAAAGTGACGCAACACTGCACGGCGAATGGCGGCGCCTCGGACGATGTGGCCACCTAAATAATGTGATTGATTAATTGATTGATTAATTGATTGATTAATTGATTGATTAATTGATTAATTGATGGATTGAATGAATGAATGAATAAATGAATGAATGAATGAATGAATGAATGAATGATTGATTGATTGATTGATTGATTGATTGATTGATTGATTGATTGATTGATTGATTGATTGGTTGATTGATTGATTGATTGATTGATTGGTTGATTGGTTGGTTGGTTGGTTGATCGATTGGTTGATTGATTGGTTGATTGATTGATTGATTGATTGATTGATTGGTAGCGGTGTTAGTGAGCTGCCAGTGACAAGGAAGAGGAACGTGTCATAATAGTTTGTTTTTAAAACAAAATATAGTATAATTCTAAGGTTTCGATCAAAGAATTGTTTTCCATGCAACCTGTGAGTAAGTGGCTGGTTTTGTCAATACACATGTCTCTGAAATTATGCGAAGAGGAAAACGTAGTCACGTACTTCCTAATTGATACTGAACTGTTTCGCTGACCCGTGCTATGGTGACATTGCAGATTAAACAACTCACACTCTCATGTGTTAGAAGTTATATCTTTCCTGATATAGTGGGAAATGACTAATTACTATAAACAAATGAAGTTGTGTAATAGTATGCATCATTTAACTAATAATCCGTACATATATATATATATATATTTGTAGAACATGTGGTATTTCTAAGTTTTGAAATTATCAACTTTAAATTTGTCAGGTCACACATTGAGATGAATGTATTATTGGATCGATCGATCCTGTACACCCACCACTGATTGATCAAATGGCAGTGAGCTGACTTCATGGATATTACCCGTGTAGTCACGTGATGGGAAACTCAAGTGAACACTGCTCTGAGACTGTTGCCATGTTAGATTCAAGTGTTTCCGTTTGGCCCGCTGCCAGGTTAGATGTAATGCGATAGTCACGTGACACTTAGCTCCGGACTACACGACTCTGACACAGTTATACAATTACCAGCTGACATGGCGAGTTTGTGTGTGTTGGTGCTGCTTGTAGCAGCGTCATCTGTGGTTCATGGACACGAAAATATCGCAGCAGTTGTCAATCAGATGAGTTTGCTTGAGCAAGAAATTAACCATCTGAAAGTGGAACTGAACCACTTGAAATCTGACGTTCCAGGAATGGAGACGAGAGTCATAAATAAGATGGACATTTTTGAGTTACTGCTGAGATCGGATTTGACGGAGAAGATTGTACCTTCCTATATGCGTAGTCAAATAGAGTCGTTGGATGACACGGTAAACAGTCACGTGATGTCCCAGATTAGACACCTCAAGCGTGGATATCAGCAGATGAAGCGACAGACACTGAGTCTCACAAGACAGTTGAGGGAGGTCGGACAGACTAAAACAAGACAACCACTGGACACTGTGAAAGACAAAGATGCATGTGAACAGCAGGTGAGTGAACTAAAGACAGAGTTGAACCTGACACGCCATCACGTGACCCATGTTGAAAAGGATGTGAGTTTAGTAAAAAATGACGTGTTACTCGCCATACGACAGAGTGCTGACGTGCACGCACAGATTAATGAAACCCAACGAACAGTTGAGACCCTTGTAAAACAAAATGTACGTTTAAGAAATGACTTGATTGTGATTAACGCCAGTCATGCAGAAGATGTGCAGACATTAGGAGACTTTCATCTGAATTACGATAACAAGACACGTGACCTTCAGACCAATGCTGACAGAACACAACCAATACCACATTACTCACCCACGACTCCATCTGGACGTCCCTTCACTTCAGTGGCTACAACACCTACAACACGGCAGTTTCAAGACAAGACGAGAATATTGGTGGTACAACTTTACTCTGGCTCCTTACAACATCCCCATCAGATTACCATAGATAAAAACGACATGAAGACGTATCCTTATCTGCATACATCACACGTTGAGGCTGTAACATACGAGCCTGTGTCCAGGAGACTGATTTTCAGTAGAAATTCACCACGTGGCATCTTCTCTTCAAGGCTGGACGTGTCGGGTGTCACAACACTACGAGAGGGAATCACGTCGTACGGAATGACAGTCGATGTTGACAGACGACTCATCTTCCTTACTACATACCTTCCGACGAAGACAATCAGTCGTATGTCCACATTTGGGAGAAACTTTCAGGGCATTGTGGACTTGCGTAATCACGGAACAAACAGTCCCCTAGGTCTTGCTGTAGACTCCAGGAAGAAGATGATCTATTTCTGTAAAAATCATGATGGGTTGTGGTCTGTTGATTATAATGGGAATAGGCTGCATCAGATAGACATGAGACGTGACGTTATTGCTGTTACTATTGACACTATTCACGATGTCCTATATTTCAGCGACAACAAGAAGGTGATAAAGCGATCTTTATCAACTAATACTACAACGGAAATGTTGGAATTCAGTGATAGGATAAGAAGCCTTGTCTACTACAACAACAGCCTGTACATAAGTGGAAAGAATATTGATGTCATATACCTGGAAAACGACGTACATTTCAACCTGAAGACAATGAAGTATAGTTACAATGTAATGTGTTTGATTCCGTGATCACATCTGTCTTAAAAGAGACTCCTACACGATACTTTAGCACAGGGACATCGTAGGAAAATGGAAATATTCTCACAACCAGTTACACAGATTGCCACAAGTTTTTAGATAGAGCGACCATTATTTTGATAATAATACTGTTACACAGAGTGTAGGACGTATGTTGAACACTTCAGGGGGCGCTCGTGCCTAGCAGCCTTAACACCGCTGTCACCAGAACCGAATTACTTTTAGTCTTAGTTTGTATCTATGTCATATGATTATTGAAATGTAATGTGTAATGCATGTTGTAGTATTGGTCTACCGAATTTCCTTCTGCTGAATGATTACCCATAGTTAGGGAACCGGGGTGGCGGGAAAAGCTGGGATCCTTGAGGTGGCGGGGGAACCTGTTTTGCCTGGGGAGCTTGCAGGACCTGGGCTCCCTGGGGTGGCGAGGCAAAAGCAAGGGACCCTGAAGTGGCGGGTGAACCTTGTGTCCCTGAGATGGCGGAGAAAGCTTGGCTCCCTGAGGTGGCAGGGAGAGCTGGGGTGGCAGAAAAAACTGGGCTCCCTGTAGTGGCGGGGAAATCTTGGGTGGCGGAGAAATCTGGTCTCCCTGAGGTGGCTGAGAAAGCTGGGCCCCCTGAGGTGGCGGGGGAAGTATAGGCTCCCTGAGGTGGCGGGGAAACCTGGGGTGCCTGGGCGGCTGAGGAAGCTGGTCTTCCTGAGGTGGCGGGGGAACCTAGGCTCACTGAGGTGGCTGAGAAAGCTGGGCTTCCTGAGGTTGCGGGGGAACCCAAGGGTCCCTGAGGTGGCGTGGGATCCTGGGCTCCCCGGGATGTGGGAAAACCTGGGTTCCCTGAGGTGGCGGGTGAACCAAGGGTGCCTGTGGTGGCTGAGAAAGCTGGGCTCCCGAAGAGGTTTGGGGAAAGATGGGCTCCCTAAGGTGGCGGGTGAACCCAAGGGTCCCTGAGGTGGCGTGGGATCCTGGGCTCCCTGGGATGTGGGAAAAGCTGGGTTCCCTGAGGTGGCGGGTGAACCTGGGGAGGCGGGGGAACCTGGGCTCCCTGGGGTGGCGGAGGAACCTGGGGTGCCTGGGGTGGCGGGTGAACCTGGGCTCCCTGAGGTGGCGGGTAAACCTGGGGTGCCTGGGGTGGCGGGTGAGCCTGGGGTGCCTGGGGCGCCTGGGGTGGCGGGTGAACCTGGGGTGCCTGGGGCGCCTTGGGAGGCGGCTGAACCTGGGGTACCTGGGGTGGCGGGTGAACCTGGGGTGCCTAGGGTGCCTGGGGTGCCTGGGGTGGCGGGTGAACCTGGGGTGCCTGGGGCGCCTGGGGAGGCGGCTGAACCTGGGGTCCCTGGGGTGGCGGGTGAATCTCGGGTGCCTGGGGTGGCGGGTGAACCTGGGGAGGCGGGTGAACCTGGGGTGCCTGGGGTGGTGGGTGAACCTGGGGTGCCTGGGGTGGCGGGTGAACCTGGGGAGGCGGGTGAACCTGGGGTGTCTGGGGTGGCGGGTGAACCTGGGGTGCCTGGGGTGGCGGGTGAACCTGGGGAGGCGGGTGAACCTGGGGTGCCTGGGGTGGTGGGTGAACCTGGGGTGCCTGGGGTGGCGGGTGAACCTGGGGAGGCGGGTGAACCTGGGGTGCCCGAGCAGGGGGGTGAACCTGGGGTGCCTGGGGTACCTGGGGTGGCGGGTGAACCTGGGCTCCCTGAGTTAGCGGGGGAAGCTGGGGCGGCGGGGGAACCTTGGCTTCCCTGAGGTGGCGGGGAAACCTGGGCTCCCTTGGGTGGCGGGGGACCTGGGCTCCCTGTGGTGCCGGGGGAACCTGGGCTCCCTTGGGTGGCGGGGAAACCTTGGCTCCCTTGGGTGGCGGGGGAATCTGGACTCCCTGGGATGGCGTTGGAATCGGTGGTCCCTTGGGTGGCCGGGAACATGGACTCCCTAGTTTGGCGAGGGAACCTGGGCTCCCTGAGGTCGCAGGGGACTCGCAGTCCCTGGAGCGGCGGGGGAATCTGTGCTCCTTGAGTTGTCGGGGGAACCTTGGCTTCCCTGAGGTGGCGGGGAAACCTGGGCTCCCTAGTTTGGCAGGGGAACCTGGGCTCCCTAAGGTCGCAGGGGAACCTGCAGTCCCTGGAGCGGCGGGGGAATCTGTGCTCCTTGAGATGGCGAGGGAACCTGGTCTCTCTGAGGTGGCGGTTGAACCTGCTGCGTCACGCCACGCGATCCGGAAAAGAGGATGATTGCTGATACAGAATGAGAATGATAATTTGCAAATTGCGGGAGAACGAAACGATAAACGACCATCATTTTGTTTAATGTTTAGGAGCTCAAGTACTCTTTCCAATACACTGACTTCTCGATACGTTAATACAAGAAAAGGGCACATAACATATTTTCGGTAAAATAAGGGCTTGATTATTACATTAGAACTCCCCACACACACCCTACCTTCTTGAAAATGAAATGGCTATATTTGAAATATTGTTCACAGCCGCGTTTAAACCAACCGCACCCAAAAATCGACCTCATTAAAGAACGGAGATCCTTCCCCGTTTTAAACCTGACCAGTTCGTTTGCAATGGGTCACATCTTCTGGACATTTCAGGATATCACGGAGACCATGATCAACGGGGACTTTGTTATGGGGTTATGGTGTTTGTTCTGAATAATCATGACATATTGCACGTAAATAACAGACAAGGTGCTCATGTTAAGGAATCCCGAATGTTAGAATCACGAAATATCGCGATGATCAATAAGCGACGAGGGAAGCCTTTGTGCTGATACTTATAATGTAGGTCAGCTGAAGATCCGGGTTAGAATAGGCCTTGAGCAAGAATGCTTGTCGTAAGAGGCGACTGAAGGGATCGGATTGTCAGGCTCGCTGACTTGGTTGATGCATGTCGATGTTCATGGTGTTAGTCACTGGATTGTCTGGTCCAGACTTGATTTATTTACAGACCGGCGTCATATGGTATGTTTATATCTGAGTGTGGCGTTAAACAACAAATAAACAAAGCAGATGATTTGTAATCAGTTCTAAGAACTTTCTACTGATGGCTTCTGATTTGTAACTTATAAAATGGAAACAAGCCAAGTTGGGATAAACTTCCTTTTGATCACGTGGTTACAATCCGGGTAAGGCTCCATGGTCAGGTGACAGCAAGCGGTCATATTTAGCAGTGATCTTGGTCGGAGGTTTTTTAAATACTACATCTGCACACACTTTTCTTCCCGATTCGTGCTGGTAATGTACGTACACTGAACACGCTGCAAAATATAGCCGCGTGTAGTCACCTGACTGCCGATTCTTAGTCGGATTGCATATTGGGTTTAACGCCGGTTTAAACAGTTATTTGCATCACGGCTTGTTAGCTTATTGTGGGAGTAATGGGGGACATAATATTATGGTCGTTTACTTCTATGAGGAACCGGGGGGCACGGGTGGCCCAGTTACTATAGTAATTATACATTTCCAAAATTGACACCAAACTCAGTGTTCACTAAATCTTTGGGGAACCCACGAGCAATTCACGATGGAGAGTTGACTGTCTTTGTCGTGACAGAATCGATTTATCGATCCCTATATTCACCTGATGAATTATGGTTTTATAAGACAAGGGCTTTGCATATACTTACAATCAATAGGTATTTGGAAGGGTTTTTTTATTTTCCTCGTAAATTATCCAGGCATTTTCATTATACGAAGGAACAAATGAATAGGTAATGATATCTTCAATGTGATCTTTAAAATCTTTGATAAAATTATATTTCTAGTTTGTTGACAGGCCTCCGAGTGGTTCAAGCGTTCGGTCGTCACGCCGAAGACCCGGGTTCGATTCCCGACATGGGTACAATGTGTGAATCCCATTTCTGGTGTCCCCCGCCGTGATATTGCTGGAATATTGCTAAAAGCGGCGTAAAACCATACTCACTCACTCACTCAATCAATCAATCAATCAATCAATCAATCAATACACACACCAGTCGCTTGCCACAATTGGCCTTTGTCAATGATGGAATAACACAGACAAGGGTGTTCATTCATATCTTGTATATCGTTTTTATCGTTCACCGAGGTTTCTCCATGCAATCTTCTGAGGGCACGGGTGGCCCAGTCGTCTAAGGCGTCGCTATTCCCTGTGCAGAGTTGCGTCCCTTGGGCACGCCAGAAATCCCGGTTCGCCTCGATTATGTTTTTAGGTTTGTCAGCACCATACCCGTGCTCGTGGTTTTGGACCGAAGTGGTAAACGTCTGAGACCTGTATCACGTCGGGCTTTCCTCCCACATTAAGCTGACACGCCTCGATATGACTGGAATACTGTTAAAAGCGGAGTTAAACCAAAACTCACTCACTCACCCATGCATTTTTCTGACCTTGAATATGTTGTTTGTTTTACAAATACAATCGTTTAACTAATAACCGAAATGCGGATTTATAATGGCAATTGAAACACGTTTCAACGTTGCCCAAACCGTTTATCATACGCTATCTCGCCGTCGCGCATTAATGGTTTATTGATTAATACGTCAGTAGATGATCTTTAACTTTCCTGTGAGGAAAGGTATATAGTTTTATCATATAATGGGTAGGTTTCTCGGCAGGATAAAGCCAACGGATAAAAACGATATCCGTTGGGGTCATATGCGGATAGAGATGCAAATATCAAAGGTCAAGTAGGGACTGTTTATAAACAAACATGGCGTCGCCCTCATCATTCGGCGATCGAGTCAGAATTAACCATCGGGAATCTGGATAAACTACAGGGATAATTGCTATCATTATCAAAAGAACAGTCTAATATACTGAAATCAGTCTCTAACTGTGATAAACTAAGGCATTTTATGAGTTTGGGCAACTTTAGAGATATAAATTTCGAAACATTTTGCGAGGGCACGAGGCCTAGCCAAGCGGGATCAGTAGCCATATCAGTGCTTGTAGACCTCTGCGGCTTGAAACCTTCTCCCCAAATTAAAATAGTTGGATTTGTCCGAAATGTGTTTGAATTGTTACCTTGTTTCGTTTTGTCGCTGTGTGTACATCTGACTACACTTCTTAACGTTATGACAGGACAGACCGACTGTCAACAACGACTGACCGTGGCCGTGACGTCTCATAGACTAAGGTTAGAGTAGCTTCCCTTTGACAAAGGGCAGTTACTCTAGCGGACAGACAGATTGATTGCCGCGAAAGGCGATTAAAAACAATTGTTGTTTTGCGTATATGTTGCTTCGCCACTGTATAAGAAACAGATTTCAGTTGGAACTATATTGGCTACTGTCACTTTCCGACTGACACATCACTTACCCTGTGACGTAATAAATATTAATGCGCGCATTCCAGAAAAACTCGCAATGTTTCGGTTATGTATGTGAGAGAGGGAAAGCGATTTTGAAGCACAGAATTAAAGAATGACATTATATGATAAAGAGGTTATCACGCTTGTGTGTTTGGGGATGGTAAATATCCTGTATTAGGAATAAACACTATGTATTTAGCTCGCTAAATACAATGTTTATTCCTAATGCAGGATATTTACCATCCCCAAACACACTCGCGTGATAACCTCTATTTATACAGTATATACCACTAGCAGTCTCTGACTATTTACGTCTATGTTATAAATATGAAGCTTTCCATGAACCAAAATCCTAATTTATCTCAGATATATTTCCAAGCATCATGAAATGTTTTGTACCAGAAATGTAAAGAAATCAAGAACCTTGCAAAAATCATCAAATACTTTGCAAAAAGTACCTTGGATATGAGTGTATTAATGTGTGTGCTGAATCTGTTACCTAATGATTGTACAGCATAACCGACATCTTGTTAAACATAAATTATTATCATGTAAAGAACCTTTTCTCCTGTACCACCTCAAAGAGTGAGTGAATTGGGTTTAACGTCGCTTTTAACAGTATTCCGGTTATATCGCGGCATGTCAGCTTAATGTGGGAGGAAAGCCCGAAGTGATGCAGGTCTCAGACGCTTACCAGTTCGGTGAAACCCACGAGCAGGGGTATGGGTATGGTGCTGACAAACTTAGAAACATAATCGGGGCAAACCGGGATTCGAACCCACAATCATAGGTATCTGATGTGCCCAAGTGACGCAACTCTGCATGGCGAATCGCGGCGCCTTACACGACTTGGCCACCCGTGCCTCCGTTTTTGAAAAGAAATAATGTGATTGATTGATTGATTGGTAGCGGTGTTAGTGAGCTGCCAATGAAGGGTGTAGCACCACTGAAAAGAAGCGTGTCATAACAGTTTGTTTTTAAAACAAAATATAGTTTAATTCTAAGGTTTTGTTCCAAGAATTTTTTTCATGCAACCTGTCAGTAACAGGCTAGTTTTGAAAATGCACATGTCTCTGAAATTATGCGAAGATGAAAACTTAGTGGACTCACGTATTTCGGAATTGACACTGAACCCGTTTCGCTGGCCCGTCCTCTGGTGACATTGTAGATTAAACAACTCACATACTCATGTGTTAGAAGTTTTATATTTCCTGATATAATGTGAAATGACTAAGTACTTTAAACAAATGAAGTTATGTAATATTATGTATTATTTAACTTGAAATCCGTACATACATGCATTTGTAGAACATGTGCTATCATTAAAGTTATGAAATTATCAACTTTAAATTTGTCAGGTCACACATTGAGATGAGGTGAGGTGAAATGGGGTTTAACGTCGCGTCCAAGATTATGGCGCTTATATAGCGACGTGCATACACGTGTGTGTGTGTGTGGCTGCTTGTACTAGTCCGGACTGATGCCGATTTATAGTGCTAGCACACTGAGATACCATGCCGCAGTTTAACATGAATATCCCACTCAGACACAGTATACTGACTCCGACCGACCAGTCCTTGTTCTAGCCTCTTAATGCCGAGCGCCAGACAGGTTAACAACAAGTACCATCTTTTAACGTCTTTTGGTACATTGAGATGAACATGTTATTGGATCGATCGATCCCGTACACCCACCACTGATTGATAAAATGGCAGTGAGCTGACTTCATGGATACTACCCGTGTGGTCCCGTGATGGGAAACTCAAGTGAACACTGCTCTGAGACTGTTGCCATGTTAGATTCAAGTGTTTCCGTTTGGCCCGCTGCCAGGTTAGATGTAATGCGATAGTCACGTGACGCCTAGCTCTGGATTACACGACTCTGACACAGTTATACAATTACCATCTGACATGGCGAGTTTGTGTGTGTTGGTGCTGCTTGTAGCAGCCTCATCTGTGGTTCATGGACACGAACATATCGCAGCAGTTGTCAATCAGATGAGTTTGCTTGAGAAAGAAATTAACCATCTGAAAGTGGAATTGAACCACTTGAAATCTGACGTTCCAGGAATGGAGACGAGAGTCATAAACAAGATGGACATTTTGGAGTTACTGCTGAGATCGGATTTGACGGAGAAGATTGTACCTTCCTATATACGTAGTCAAATAGAGTCGTTGGATGCCACGGTAAACATTCACGTGATGTCCCAGATTAGACACCTCAAGCGTGGATATCAGCAGATGAAGCGACAGACACTGAGCCTCACAAGACAGTTGAGGGAGGTCGGACAGACTAAAACACGACAACCACCGGACACTGTGAAAGACAAAGATGCATGTGAACAGCAGGTGAGTGAACTAAAGAAAGAGTTGAACCTGACACGTCATCACGTGACCCATGTTGAAAAGGATGTGAGTTTACTTAAAGATGACGTGTTAATCGTCATACGACAGAGTGCTGACGTGCAAGCACAGATTAATGAAACCCAACGAACAGTTGAGACCCTTGTAAAACAGAACGTACGTTTGAGAAATGACTTAATTGTGATAAACGCTAGTCATGCAGAAGATGTGCAGACATTGGGAGACTTTCATCTGAATTACGTCAACAAGACACGTGACCTTCAGACCATTGCTGACAGTACACAACCAATACCACATTACTCACCCACGACTCCATCTGGTCAGTGGCTACAACACCTACAACACGACAGTTTCAAGACAAGAGGAGAATATTGGTTGTACGATATGGCTCTGTCTCCTCACAACATCCCCATCAGATTACCATAGATAAAAACGACATAAAGACGTATCCTTATCTTTACACAAAATACATTGAGGCTGTAACATACGAGCCTGTGTCCAGGAGACTGATATTCAGTAGAATGTCATCACCAGGCATCTTCTCCTCAAGGCTGGACGTGTCGGGTGTCACAACACTACGAGAGGGAATCCAATCGTACGGAATGACAGTCGATGTTGACAGACGACTCATCTTCCTTACCACATACCATCCTACGTGGACAATCAGTCGTATGTCAACATTTGGGAGAAACTTTCGGGGCATTGTGGACTTGCATTATCGCGGAGCGGGCATTCCCAATGGCATTGCTGTAGACTCCAGGAAGAAGATGATCTATTTCTGTAAAACTGATGATGGGTTGTGGTCTGTTGACTATAATGGGAATAGGCTGCATCAGATAGATATGACACGTTACGTTTCTGCTGTTACTATTGACACTATTCACAATGTCCTATATTTCAGCGACAACAAGAAGGTGATAAAACGATCTTTATCAACTAATACTACAACGGAAATGTTGGATTTCAGGGATAGCATTAGAAGCCTTGTCTACTACAACAACAGCCTGTACATAAGTGGAAAGAATATTGATGTCATATACCTGGAAAACGACGTACATTTCAACCTGAAGACAATGAAGTATAGTTACAATGTAATGTGTTTGATTCCGTGATCACATCTGTCTTAAAAGAGACTCCTACACGATACTTTAGCACAGGGACATCGTAGGAAAATGGAAATATTCTCACAACCAGTTACACAGATTGCCACAAGTTTTTAGATAGAGCGACCATTATTTTGATAATAATACTGTTACACAGAGTGTAGGACGTATGTTGAACACTTCAGGGGGCGCTCGTGCCTAGCAGCCTTAACACCGCTGTCACCAGAACCGAATTACTTTTAGTCTTAGTTTGTATCTATGTCATATGATTATTGAAATGTAATGTGTAATGCATGTTGTAGTATTGGTCTACCGAATTTCCTTCTGCTGAATGATTACCCATAGTTAGGGAACCGGGGTGGCGGGAAAAGCTGGGATCCTTGAGGTGGCGGGGGAACCTGTTTTGCCTGGGGAGCTTGCAGGACCTGGGCTCCCTGGGGTGGCGAGGCAAAAGCAAGGGACCCTGAAGTGGCGGGTGAACCTTGTGTCCCTGAGATGGCGGAGAAAGCTTGGCTCCCTGAGGTGGCAGGGAGAGCTGGGGTGGCAGAAAAAACTGGGCTCCCTGTAGTGGCGGGGAAATCTTGGGTGGCGGAGAAATCTGGTCTCCCTGAGGTGGCTGAGAAAGCTGGGCCCCCTGAGGTGGCGGGGGAAGTATAGGCTCCCTGAGGTGGCGGGGAAACCTGGGGTGCCTGGGCGGCTGAGGAAGCTGGTCTTCCTGAGGTGGCGGGGGAACCTAGGCTCACTGAGGTGGCTGAGAAAGCTGGGCTTCCTGAGGTTGCGGGGGAACCCAAGGGTCCCTGAGGTGGCGTGGGATAGCATTAGAAGCCTTGTCTACTACAACAACAGCCTGTACATAAGTGGAAAGAATATTGATGTCATATACCTGGAAAACAACGTACATTTCAACCTGAAGACAATGAAGTATATTGAGAATGTAATGTGTTTCATTCCGTGATCACATCTGTCTTAAGAGAGACTCCGACACGAGACTTGAGCCCATGAACAGCGTAGGAAAATGGAAATATTCTCACAACCAGTTACACAGATGGCCACAACTTTTAAGATGCGAGCGACCATTACTTTCATAATAAAACTGTTACACAGAGTGTTTTGGACAGTTTAGTGATGTGTACTAGGACGTGTGTTATACACTTCCGGGGACGCTCGCGCCTAGCAGCCTTAACACCGCTGCCACCAGAACCGACTTACTTTTAGTCTTAGTTTGTATCTGTCATATGTTTAATGAAATGTAATGCGCATTGTATGTTGTGGTATTGGTCTACGGAATATTCTTCTGCTGAGTGTATACTCGTAGCCAGGGAATCTGGGGTGCCTGAGGTGGCGGGGGAACGTGGGGTCCCTGTGGTTGCGGTTAAAGCTGCTGTCCGTGAGATGGCGGGGAAAGCTGGGGTCCCTGAGGTGGCGGGGAAAGCTGGGGCGGCGGGAAAAGCTGGGCTCCCTGGGGTGGCGGGGGAGTCTTGGCTCCCTGAGGTGGCGGAGAAAGCTGGGGTCCCTGAGATGACGGGGAAAGCTGGGCTCCTTGAGATGGCGGGGAAATGTGGGGTCCTTGAGATGGCGGGAGAACCTTGGGCTCCCTGTGGTGGCGGGGAACCTGGGCTCCTTGAGGAGGCAGAATAGGTCTTCGGTAACCCATGCTTGCGGTAAAAGGCGACTATGCTTGTCGTAAGAGGCGACGAACGGGATCGTGTGGTCAGGCTCGCTGATTTGGTTGATGCATGTCATCGTGTCCCAATTGCCTGAATCAATGCTCATGGTGTCAATCACTGGATTGTCTGGTCCAGATTCGATTATTTACAGACCGCCGTCATATGGCTGAGTGCGGCGTTAAACAACAAACAAACAAACAAACAAAAACACTCATGTAGTAATTTTCTTTAATGTGTAAATACAAAACACGAACAGTCACTTTCCAATACTCCTAAACTGCACACATCAAGGTAATATTGTGATAGTATTTGTGTTGCTGGAGATATTTTCTTGATACATATCGGATAATTTTCCTGTATATAGTTCCATACCATAGTTACCCAAATACTTGCTTCTAAGGGGTATGTTGTTCTCAGTGTTAGTTTGTGCAGGGAGTCTGTATAAGACCGAATGGGCACCAAATGAATTTACCAACTGGATAATGTGTTTTACCTCGTCATCGCCATGCTGCGGTGAAATTAAGTGCGAAGATGGAATTCATACAAGCTCTTGTCTGCATTGATGCCATTTGTGTTTACCCTTGTTATTCCGAGACATACCGACGAGAAATATGATTGTTTATCGGTGTTTGATGACTCAAGTGTAAATAAAAACGACAAAACCTTTTTTAATCTATTATGATGACGTCACGCCTTTGTTCTTGTAGTTGATTCTGAGATTCTGAGTTTACGGGCCATTCTGAACGTGTACTTTGAAATTGACGCAACTATATGTCTTTATGCAAAATTAAAGAGAAATTATGTTTCAATCACAACATGGTTTAAATCAGAGCGTGAGTGAGTATGGTTTTACGCTGCTTTTGGACACCAGAATGAGCTTCACACATTGTATCTATGTGGGGAATCGAAACCGGGTCTTCTACATGAAGTCTGGCGGGTCTTCTGTCGAAAATGCCTGCACATCTCAGGCGGCGACGTACGGTTTGTGAAGATATTCGTCGAAGGCCAGGGATGCTTCTAGATCTTGCAGTCACTGTTGCTGGCTGGAATCGATTTCGTAGGTGTCATGTTCGAATCCAGTTGTCTTGTCGATTATTGGTTACGCGTGGCCTGCCACTCCGAGGATGGTCTCTGACTGCATTCGTCTGTTGCCAACGTTGCCATAAACACCAAATGGTGTTTCTGTGGACGTTAAATTGTCTTGCAACATCACGTTGACTCGATCCTGCTTCAAGCATACCAATGGCTCGCAGACGCACATTTTCGGACAGGCGTGGCATTTCGTAATGTTGAATAATTGCGTAATTTTGTTGTTTTTCTGAGTGGTTGATGTCAGCACGATGCTAAACAATGCCTATGAAATCCCGTTAACGCACATGTTTTTATAGCCATTCTTGGGTAGTGAAATGCATGGGGCTTGCATAAAAGTCAACTTTTGCATGGAATGCATGCTTTTCTGTAGCAGTTGCGTTTTTGTGACTTGATTCCATACATGTTCTACAAAATTGGAAACCAAACTTTACTTGTTTGAAAAATACACCAAAATATTGGTGTCACAGGAACTTTTGTTTTTGAGTATAGTAAATTAGCTGTTTACGAACCTTCTGCCCCTGTCACTCAATAACTTTGTATAATTCTCTGGACTGTTCTCTCATTTTGGTCGATTCACTTATTGTGTACCCTTTGTATAAAACCCAACTAAATGCAAATAGCTGTATCCCCTATGTAGCACTGTTCCAGGTGACATCCCAACTCTCACCCACCAGATCATGTTTAATGTCGACAGTGCCTGACATGAATAATCTGTGTAGAGCCAGGAAAATATGTGTGGCTATTTTCGCTTGGTGATCTTGTCCTGTATCATTTTGTGTCTGCATGTACATCAACACGGAATTGCATGTCACCACTTTGTCATGTCAGCGAAGTTGTATGATGAATGGGACAGTAAACAACATATACACCCTGATCTTTGATCCACAGATGTCCCGTCAAGTTTCAGGATCTAGAATTCAAAGTTGACGTAAACAATTCGTTGCACATGATGCAGAATGGTGACGACATTTGTCATGAGGCATATCCTATTTGCCAAGGATGTTTTTCTCCCCTGTTGAATTCTTTGCAACATGTACGCATCGAATGGTATGTAATCCGCAAGAGGTTCTTTTGACAATCTTTGATGTATTTTTTCAAACATTTATTTCACAAAAAGTAAATCGGTTTAGAAAGGAATTAACAGGATCATTTCCCCTCTGGAACTGTATGTTATTACATTTATGAGTTTACAAACACCAAGGTCTCTGTTTATGTCCCCGCCGCTGTTACCAGCCAAAGGTAAGGTTTGATGGTATTCCAAGGTGTCTTTACCGCTGTTGGGTACGGCCCAGCCAAAGGTAAGGTTTGATGGTATTCCAAGGTGTCTTTACCGCTGTTGGGTACGGCCCAGCCAAAGGTAAGGTTTGATGGTATTCCAAGGTGTCTTTACCGCTGTTGGGTACGGCCCAGCCAAAGGTAAGGTTTGATGGTATTCCAAGGTGTCTTTACCGCTGTTGGGTACGGCCCAGCCAAAGGTAAGGTTTGATGGTATTCCAAGGTGTCTTTACCGCTGTTGGGTACGGCCCAGCCAAAGGTAAGGTTTGATGGTATTGCAAGGTGTCTTTACCGCTGTTGGGAACGGCCCAGCCAAAGGTAAGGTTTGATGGTATTCCAAGGTGTCTTTACCGCTGTTGGGTACGGCCCAGCCAAAGGTAAGGTTTGATGGTATTCCAAGTTGTCTTTACCGCTGTTGGGTACGGCCCAGCCAAAGGTAAGGTTTGATGGTATTCCAAGGTGTCTTTACCGCTGTTGGGTAGGGCCCAGCTAAAGGTAAGGTTTGATGGTATTCCAAGGTGTCTTTACCGCTGTTGGGTACGGCCCAGCCAAAGGTAAGGTTTGATGGTATTCCAAGGTGTCTTTACCGCTGTTGGGTAGGGCCCAGCCAAAGGTAAGGTTTGATGGTATTCCAAGGTGTCTTTACCGCTGTTTGGTACGGCCCAGCCAAAGGTAAGGTTTGATGGTATTCCAAGGTGTCTTTACCGCTGTTGGGTACGGCCCAGCTAAAGGTAAGGTTTGATGGTATTCCAAGGTGTCTTTACCGCTGTTGGGTACGGCCCAGCCAAAGGTAAGGTTTGATGGTATTCCAAGGTGTCTTTACCGCTGTTGGGAACGTAACGGCCCAGCCAAAGGTAAGGTTTGATGGTATTCCAAGGTAAGTAACTAGTTTGGGAACAAGGGGTATAAAAAATCCACTGTCGAAACATCTGACAGAGTTTAAGAAGGACATGGCAAAATCAGCATTAGCCTTTAAAAGCATGTTATGAAGGCGTGGAACGTTGCGATGTATTTGTACCCAGTGGGGATGGGACAGTAAAAGAGGATAAAGCTACGTTTCCGCATCACGTTCCCAGTTACCAATGTTGTCAGAGACGATGGGTCGGGTATCCAACTCGGCTTGGTTGATTGCGTGTCATTGTGTTCAGATGCTCTGGGACGATGCCCATGATTACAATCACAAGTTTGTCTGGACCAGACTCCACTATTTACAGGCCGCCATGATAGGCTAGAACATTGCAACAGTACGGCTTCAAACAAGGCAACAAAAACAACATGTAGTAAAATATAGAGTTGATAGACATTATTTCAAATAATACTTCATAGTTCAACAGAAAGCTTTGAGATACCGGCAGACACTTTTGTAGAAACAAATAAAGTAAAAGGCACTAGTACTTTCAAATGCCATGAAGTCTGGCAAATTCAGTTGAAATGTTGAACAAACAGTAAACGAGATCGTAGTAGTTGATAAATACATAGAGTAACATGTGCATCAATTTATACTGGGTATTTTTGTAATTTAATTCGTTAAATCCCTTTTAGAAACCAAAACACCCTGTGTTTTACCTGGTGACTAGGTAATATCACGAGTCGACTGTGTATGATGAAATACCATGAATTATCTATAGACATTCAATATTCAATGACAACACTATACTATAATGCCAACGTGGTTATTATTCCATTTTGTCCAATGTACAAATACGAAAACAACGGAGATAGCTCCCGTTTGAAATTAGAGTGACCACCCTTTCCCAATATGAGTGAGTGAGTTGGGTTTAACGCCGCTTTTAACAGTATTCCAGTTATATCACGGCGTGTCAGCTTAATGTGGGAGGAAAGCCCGAAGTGATGCAGGTCTCAGACGTTTACCACTTCGGTGAAACCCACGAGCACGGGTATGGTGCTGACAAACCTAGAAACATAATTGGGGCGAACCGGGATTCGAACCCACAATCATAGGTTTCTGGCGTGCCCAAGGGACGCAACTCTGCACAGCGAATCGCGGCGCCTTAGACGACTGGGCCACCCGTGCCCCCTTTCCCAATATGAACCACCGACAATGCGGTTTCGCCGATATATTGATATGGTAAACCTTTTGTCGCTTTTATTTCATTCGCAAGCTTTCTCAGTGAACCAATTTAATTCTCAAAGTGGAAGATTTGTGGATACGCAAAGTTAAGAAAATTCAAGATATAAGACAAAGTTGAATTTAATGGAACCTTTTGATATATAAATGTAAGAACACTATGAGCGATGGAAGTTAAAAATGAACAAACTGTACACTTTATTACAATATGCCAGTGCACTCGTCTGTTCCACATTTGAAAGATGTAAAAATATCAGCCGTAATCCCCAAAAATATAATACAGCGACATGTTGTTGATATCGATAGTGACATTATCTATTGTTCTATATTCATATCTGTTTAATGAACAACTTCATCATCGTCCACAGAGAAAGGAATATAGAACAATGCGATTTGTATCAATTCCCGATTGGTATGAGTTATTCACATATATGCCTTATATCAGTTGTACATATTGATAGTTCCATGATGTCAGTCACTGAATTGTCTGGTCCAGACTCGATTTTTTACCGACAGGAATATTGCTGAGAACGGCTTTAAACAACAATCAGACAAGCAAAACATATTCATAGTCAAGCACGTTTTAATATGTATTGTTACTTGTTCAGATAAAATCAGATTACGTAGTATTTACCACCCTATGGATTTTGATGAAGTCGAAAGAACAATTTTGTTCCTTTTTTCAGAAGAGGCAGGTCAGAGTGACCAGGAAGGGACTGCCAACCAATTAGCTAATGATAAATTTGTGTGTGTCAATGTTCAAGAAAAAAACACATTTCTGTCAAATGGTTTCGGAATAAGTATGTTTTAATGGTTATATGATACACACTAAAACTGGTGTACATTATGCTAATATTGCAATGGCACCTGATCTCAACCTGCTGTGGGGGAGCGAAGCAGTCTCCCGTACCTCTGAGTACCCGAGGCGCAGCGTGTGGTCAGCCCTACACTCTCACATACAGCCAGTCTGAGGCTGCAAGTGTATCGTCAGTCACTTATAATAATGGTAGGTTTTCAGTTTGGTGTTAGCTGAATATATAAGTTTCCCCTAGCCATATACGTCGACACGTCCATACCACAATCGACATGCTAAACGTGTGTTTGCAATGAAATAGGATAACAGAATGTTTAGGTTCAGACACACAGATGCACATACAGATGCACCGACCACAGGTCACAGCTGTGTCTCCAGTCATACAAAACACCAGTGTGATTAACTGATGAGGACATAATATTTGATATCAAATGACCTTTACTCATCTCAGATGGTTACGCCATCATTTCTGTAGATTCTGTAGAATGTGTAGAATGCATTTCTTCAACGGTGATCAGTTATTGTTTCAGAAGAGTAATGGTGTTTTGCGGTATTATAAAAGGAATACGGTCTATTTCGAACCAGGGACTATTTCGTGGTAGAGGTATTAGAACACAGATATGGACTGCAAGACACGGACATTCCACGTTCTCTTTCACTGCCAATGTCAGCCATGACTCCTACATATCCACAGGACAAACAGCTACAATGAACTTCCCAAAGGGAAGACTGTCTCTCAGTGACGTACCCCATCGTCAGGGCTGCACGTTCCTCCTGGGGGAGATACACTACCATGCTGGCATCACAGGGGACACAGGCTCCGAACACTGGCTGGAACACACAGAATACGGGACCGAGGTAGGTAGAGTGAGTGAACGTAGGAACGAGAGAGGTGAACGATGAGTGGGTGAGGTAAAGTTTAACGTCACATCGGCAATATTACAACCACATCGTGACGAGACAAAATTTGACATTAACAATATATATTTAAACTGTATAAAAGTCTGTCAACGAAGGACAGTATAATAACTAGAATTTCACAGATTTACGTAAAACTAGTTTTTGAGTATGTAAAACTATATTTTTAGTAAATTGATTGTACTTAATAAAGTCGATATATTTAATTGAATATCATAGATACAAATATGAAATTTTGGAGCTCGATAGTCACCTGTTGTCGCTTTATAAAGGCATTGAAAACTGTTCATTGTCATGTCACATAAGGCCACACGGATGCGCTGAACTCAATAGCTCGTGTGACCGCCCCGGGCAGCAATCACGGCTCTGCATCTCCTCGGCACTGACTGGATTCTGTGGATATATGTTATTGGAAAATGTTGGTGACAATAATTTTACACTACTTCAACCCCCTTCGAGGATACAACCCCAACAATCTCAGCTATTAATTTTATTCAACCAATTATAAAAAATATAGCAATCAAAAGTTATGTAATAACTCAAATTCCTTTAAACAACGATGATTAAATGAGAACTATTTTAAAGACCCTTCAAGAATGAAACTTTGAAAAAGTTATCCCTTGTGATGGCAAAATCAATACATGCTTGACCGTGATTCTTTCATCACAAGGTATGAAAAACGGAGGATCTTCATCTCTCAACAAATACTCGTGTGTATATCTGCTGTTAAAAGTTAAATGGCTATCGACTATAAGGCCGAAGAACTTGGCCTCCTATACAACTTTGATAGGGGTGCCATTTAAAAAAAGGTCAGGGTCCTTATGCGGCTTATATTTTCTGCAGAAATGTATACAATTAGTTTTTGATTTGGGAAATTTGAACCCGTTTTCAAGGTACCATTGATGAATTAAATTGAGACAGATTTGTAACTGCCTCTCTATTGTATGCATATTTTTTCCACGACAAGAAACATTAAAATCATAAACGAAAAGTGATCCATCTACTGAATCACTTCAAACCTTTGAAAGACTATTAATGTTTATACTAAATAAAGCGACAGACAAAATACTCCCTTGCGGGACACTCTGATCCTGATTATAGTGATCAGAAGGGTAGAACCCACTTAATGGAGCTATGTTTCTAGGGAAGTAGCACTTTACCTGATGCAGATTAAAACAAAGAAACACTTACCAAACTTTGACAGTATTTTGGTAGATGCCCAAAATTATGATTGTCATCGAAATTGTTCTTCTACGCCATTCGTTTTGAGGTCGCGTGTGCACATAAAAAAGGTCAGATTACTATGTTTACATAAATACGGGTCAAATGTTGATTATCAAACATGTTTTGTGAATATTTGAGAAATGATAATGATTATATTCAATAAACTGTTTACTGTAACAAAATATATGAAATATACTTAATTCAAATAAAACAGTATGCTTAGATGAAATAATTTGACTTTTATATATATATATATATATATATATACATTCTATTTCATATAAGTGTAACGAAAAATTCAGTGATAAAAATAGATCCAAATAGTCTTTGATGCAAATATCAGGTACATCAGGTACATTAACATTCAATAAGGATTACATAAATACTGTATTTTAATGTTAATACGGGTTAATTGTGGTGTGTGAATTTGGTTTTATCCCACTTTTAGCAATATTCAAGCAATATCACAGTGGGGGACACCGGAAAAGGGGCTTCACACATTGTACCCATGAGGGGAATCGAACGAGCCAACGTGACGTGACGTGACGAGCCAACGCTTTAACAACAAGGCTACCCACCGCCCCGTGTACGTGTTAACCACGCCACTTACATATTAAAGACACACTATGTATGTCAAATTAAATCCTACTCCGCTAGCTGGCCGGCGTGTTGCGGGGCTGAGTGTAAACAACGCTGTTTTTGCTCTGTTGCCACCAGGTAAGATAGACTCTCGGTGGTAGAAGGTAGTGCTACATGAAAATATAAACCATACTGACATGCAGATGATTAAAGAAAACGACACGGACGTCAGTGAGGACAACACGATGCACGTGCAAGAACAGAACAGTGCGAACGCGGGAGGAGACAACCAGGGCGTATTTGTAAAGCCAACCAACATTCCCGGCGCAATAGTTCGGAGAAGACAGTGTAACCTTCGAGGGTGTGTTATTATTGTTGCTGGATGTTTAATACATCTCACACTCGGCACACTTTATTCATACGGTGAGTATAAAGATAATATTCTTTTATGAACAAAAATACACGTGTTGCTGTATTTGTTATTGCGAATGTCATAACTTTAGTTATCAATGCCCGTGACCTAGATGTACATGCGTGCATGCCTTGCAATCCGTCGTGAGATCAGTGTCAAACCCGTCAGGTAACATGTGTTACTTTGCAAGGAGTATGATGTATGGCCCAGGCGTGTGCATGTAGCTGACATAATTGTCACTTATTCGGGGATACACATCTATCGCACGCACGGAACAAGTTGGTAGTTTAGAGTTTGTTCACCCTTGCAACACCTGGTGTTATCACTGTTGTATATACGATACGCACGGAACAAGTTGGTAGTATAGTCTGTTCACTCATGTTACACCTGGTATTTTCACTGTTGTATATACGACACGAACGGAACAAGTTGGTAGTGTAGAATCTTTTGACCCATGTAACACCTAGTGTTTTCACTGTTGTATATACGACACGAACGGAACAAGTTGGTAGTGTAGAGTCTGTTGACCCATGTAACACCTGGTGTCATTGTCGTTGTACATGCGACATGCACGGAACAAGTTGGTAGTAAAGAGTCTTTTGACCCACGTAACACCTGGTGTCATTGTCGTTGTACGTGCGACATGCACGGAACAAGTTGGTAGTATAGAGTCTTTTGACCCACGTAACACCTGGTGTCATTGTCGTTGTACATGCGACACGCACGGAACAAGTTGGCAGTATAGAGTCTGTTCACCCATGTAACACCTGGTGTCATAATTGTTGTACATGGGACACGCACGAAACAAGTTGGTAGTATAGAGTCTGTTGACCCATGTAACACCTGGTGTCATAATTGATGTACATGGGACACGCACGGAACAAGTTGGTAGTATAGAGCCTGTTGACCTGGTGTCATTGACGTTGTACATGCGACATGCACGGAACAAGTTGGTAGTATAGAGTCTGTTGACCCATGTAACACCTGGTGTCATTGTCGTTGTAAATGCGACATGCACGGAACAGGTTGGTAGTATAGAGTATGTTCACCCATGTAACACCTGGTGTCATAATTGTTGTACATGGGACACGCACGAAACAAGTTGGTAGTATAGAGTCTGTTGACCCATGTAACACCTGGTGTCATAATTGTTGTACATGGGACACGCACGAAACAAGTTGGCAGTATAGAGTCTTTTGACCCATGTAACACCTGGTGTCATTATCGTTGTACATGGGACATGCACGGAACAAGTTGGTAGTCCAGAGTACGTTCACCCATGTAACACCTGGTGTCATAATTGTTGTACATGCGACATGCACGGAACAAGTTGGTAGTTTAGAGTCTGTTGACCTGGTGTCATTGTCGTTGTAAATGCGACATGCACGGAACAGGTTGATAGTATAGAGTCTGTTCACCCATGTAACACCTGTCATTATTGTAGTACATGGCACTCCGATTCTTCCATTCTTTCTCGATCCTTTACGATCTCTCTGTTATACCAAAGTTATGTATGTCATATAACTCCCCACATTCCATATACGCTTAAACAATGTTATAACACAGAACACAAATACATTAACCGCAAACTCTCAAATACAGACCAGGACGCGATCTGTTCCATAAAGCTCCACATGTGGAATATATCGTTGAATTAGGGAACATTTGTTAACTACATTGAACTACTATTTAACTGAATATGTATTTCCAATTCCAGGGAACTTCAGCCCATATATAATATCGTACATACGGAGAGGGTCCTCCCCCAGTGATCTTCGCTTTGTAGATGGGATATGGGTACAGGCGTGTATGATGATTGGTCAAGGAATCACAATGTTTGGAGGAGGGCTTCTTGAGAGGAAGCTTGGACCAAGAATAACGACTCTCATAGGATCATGGATCATGAGGTCAGTAGATTCACGGAACTGTAAGTGTGAAGTGTTATTACGTATAAATACATTGTAGCTGCGTAAGACATACAACCGATCATTTAACCTTTAGTTTAACATTGAATAGTTTGACTTAGTGAAAATATTAATATGTATTTATATGATTATGTGTCCTCTTGTTCATCCATGCAGTCTTGGCGTAATGCTGTCCTACTTCGCGATCCAGAATTCGTACATAGCTACAGTCTTTACGTACGGCGTGATGTTTGGTATGGGGACAGGAATAGCATATCCTATACCATTGGGCTGCGCCATGAAGGTTGGTCAAATACTATATGAATATATGAAGACAAGTGTTTCTATCTTAAAATATTGTGGTGCGGACCGCTTCTCACCATCCGTATACGCGACCTGTCCGTGTGTTACCCGTTCACCGAAAATCATTCGTCACCACTCGCCCCTTTCCGTAACCTGCAAGAAGACTCGTCCCCCTATCGATGAATGTTATGTGCGAAAATACGACAAACCAATCAGAATGCGCGTATGATTTCAAGTTCTTCGTCAAAGAATCCCTCAGAAATAATTTCTGTTTTTACATATGTCTTGCATCTAAAAATATACCCAAGACGCAGTTAAATGTGTTCAATCATACTGTATAATTTCGCATGTCCTGATGTGCTTTAAATTGCATCTGAAATATAAATAATATATCGGGAAGTATATGTGAATCATTGCGCAACGAGTTGACAAGTGTTTTAGGTATGCCCGTTTGCGCTAAGACGGAACCCGGTTGCAAAAATGGCCACGAGAGGGGCACGAGTCGCTATTCGGCTTGTCCCGGAATAACACGAGTTGGTCACGAATGACCGAAAATATGCCTTGTACACATGTTATTGTCAGTTTGAGCTGTGGAACATGTGTTTTATCTCCGACCTCATAATACAGCTTCTTGTCCGTGCTCGTAGGCTTCAACAAATGTCACTAAAGGCCTTCTCGTTTGAACTGGGAAATAAGAGACCTGTGAAACCGTCTAATCTATTTCATACGTAGATCGTTGTATAAAGATTCATCAGGACAAGAAAGTATATACACACGGGACTGTATGACATGAGTGATGACTTAACTTTCCCAGAGTCTGCTTTCCCTTCATGTCCAGCAATATTCCAGCAGCTCCAGCCTTTGGTGTCTACATTTCGAGGTCTGGGCAAAAATCGGGGGCTAACGTTTTGCCTACGAAGTGTTCAAAGAGTGTCATACGAGTGCCAACATTCAAGGCTTCGGTAAAGTTTTAAAAAAAATTACATTTTGAGGACATTTCCAAATCTGACGCATCAGTGTACACAATGATGCTTTTTGCAATTCCCTATGTTGACTTGTACTATACAGTTGTATGTTCCCGTATTTTCTTAGGTTAACAATTGACTTGCCTTTATATGTGTTTGTGACGTGTGCCACTGTTCAGGATATGCTCACATGTTCAAAAACACCTGGTATTATCATCAGGGGGACTGTATTTCATTAAAACATGCTTATGATACAGTCGGAATCGTACAACGGAGATTTATTATGGTAATTGAAATAATTTTCTCGCATTCATTCCAACATGATGAAACATGAATACTGTAAGAAGCACTCAACCATCCCCCAGCACTGAATATCTTCCCTAGACAGCTTGTTATACGTGGGACCCCGGTGGCCAATGGCCAAAGCGCATCATCTTTAGCTCTTTTAGGGGAGCTGAATGTCAGTGGTTTGACCCCCTGGCAGTGTTATATTAAAATACGTCAAAAGATGGGACTTGTTGTTACCCTGCCTGCATGTGCATGAAATAAACATGAGAGCATTAAGTTAAGTTAAACCCCATTCCACCCCACCTGGATGAATTATGTTCTCAGTGGTTGCCGGACTGGAGGGGGCTTGTGAGTGGTTCCATCATAGCAGGGTTTGGAGCTGGCGCTCTGGTGTTTAACCAGGTTATCACTGCCTATGTCAACCCAGAAAACTACAGCCCTGATGACAACAACGATGGAGAGAAGTAAGAAAACATGTGTTGATAGCTACAGTCTTTCTGTCTTAATAATTATTATAAGAAGTAGCAATAGTAGTAGTAGCAGCAGCAGTAGTGAGTGGGTGAGTATGGTTTTACGCCGCTTTTAACCACTAGGCTACCCGACCACCACAGCAGCAGTAGTAGTAATAGTAGAAGTCGTACCAGCAGCAGCAGCAGCAGCAGCAGCAGCAGCAGTAGTAGTAGTAGTAGTAGTAGTAGTAGTAGTAGTAGTAGTAGTAGTAGTAGTAGTAGTAGTAGTAGTATAATTAATATTATTTCAAAGTGCCGAACATCATTAGGAGATTGTTGTTTGCTTTTAAGGTTGGATATTTAAAAGATTGAGATTTCCCTCAATGTTTATCAATAACATACTGGATCATTAGCCTGACCAACCCCCAACTTACCCTATATAGTTCACCTTTTTAAATACGTAGCCATGGTGGGCATATGACTCTCATAAATGTTTTACCTATAGACATAGAGGCAATGTTTGCAACACTGATATGGCCTTCTTACAGCGTGTACCTTCTGCATCTTCAGTTACTTCTCTCAGGACGTGGTGTTGGACCGTGTCCCCCACTGCTTCCTGGTGCTCGGGGGAACATACGCGGTGGTACAGCTGTTTTCCTGTCTGATGTTGGTTGACCCGCCCGAGGACAGCCAGGTACCACACAGAGAAATATTACATCAGCATTAACAACGGTACATGAGTCATCTTTGGGAGATCATCTTCAGTTCATGCGACACGGTGGGGCGGTGGGGTAGCCTAGTGGTGGAAGCGTTCGCTCGTCACGCCGAAGGCTCGTTCGATTCCCCACGCAGGTACAATGTGTGAAGACCTTTCCTCGTGTTCCCCGCCAAGATATCGCTGGAATATATAGGGGGTATTATTGTATCAGGCTCGCTGACTTTAGAGTGAAAAATTGCTCAGTGCGGCGTTAAACAACAAACAAACAAAAAATCACAATCCTTTTAATTGTGAAATATTTAGATAAAACGACTGTTGAATGACAAATTACATCATATATTTTTTCAGGATGAGGTCGGGGTAACAAGCTACAAGACTGTTGATGAAATGAGTAACATTAACGAAGGATTCTCTGGTGACATGGAGATGACGAAGTCAGCTTCTCCTGAAGCTGCAGCCGTTCAAACAAAAGACATAGAGTGAGTTATTCTTTACCTATAAGCAACAGAATCGCTGAACTTGTACTCAACAGACGGAATTCAAAATTAAAATACCATTTTTAACTTCAACCAAATTTGGTAAGTTATGTTTCTAAAATTGTCAGCACCATACCCATGCTCGTGGGTTTCATCGAAGTGGTAAACGTCTGAGACCTGCATCACTTCGGGCTTCCTCCCATATTAAGGTGCTGTAATATGACTGTAATACTGTCAAAAGCGGTGTTAAACCCAAGTCACTCACTCACTCAGTGATCCTTTCATATATTTTTCACTGCTACTTTGCCTTTTACGCTCAATGCAATCTGTTTCGGCGGATAATCGAGACTGGTTATTCTCTGGCCTTGATATTTTATATTTATTTTCCATCACATACATCACACGTTTCTTGAAATAAGTTTATAGGAACATGTTCCAATATCCCGATGGATAAGCATCTTCTTGTACAGTTTGGGGTGTCATTCATTTCTTCATTTAAAACGGTGAATGCGTGTATGTAGGATGTAAATACATTTGTATGTCGACCCTAACATTCTGCAGCTGATGTTTATCCCGGGGTACTTTATTTACAGTGGGTATTGTATATTAATAGCACATATGTTTTTTTGCAAACAGAATAAACATGCATCATGCATTGCCTTTTCTGGTACATATTATGCAATGAGTAATAGGTCACGAAACCCCAACGCAATGAACACATTCCATCTAGCTGCACTACATGTCGACCCTGGTGTATACCCTGTTGTCCTGGCTGATAAGAAGAAACACATGTCACTGAGACCTAACACTGTTTATGTTATCTTGCTACCATGAATGTAGCCTTCAAACGTCGTGAAAATATATTCACCACATAATGCATTACATTGACAATTTAGAGCCACCATAAACACTGACACGCTTTGATCGTAATCCTTCTACCTGTCGTCCATTGGTATATATTAACCTATCTTTATGCGTGTGAAGACCTACTTCAAACGTATCTCCATTGTATAGGCGTTCAAGTACAAACAAGTGACACCTGTAACTCAATGTGTTTTCATCTACTACATGGAGACCTGGTTTATACTGAAGCGTTCAAGTATAAACAAGTGACGTCTGTAACTCAATGTGTTTTGATCTACTACATGGATACCTGGTTTATACTGTAGCGTCCCAGTACAAACAAGTGACACATGTAACTCACTGTGTTTTGATCTACTACATGGAGACCTGGTTTATACTGTAGCGTCCCAGTACAAACAAGTGACACATGTAACTCAATGTGTTTTGATCTACTACATGGAGACCTGGTTTATACTGTAGCGTCCCAGTACAAACAAGTGACACATGTAACTCACTGTGTTTTTATCTACTACATGGAGACCTGGTTTATACTGTAGCGTCCCAGTACAAACAAGTGACACATGTAACTCACTGTGTTTTGATCTACTACATGGAGATCTGGTTTATACTGTAGCGTCCCAGTACAAACAAGTGACAAAAGGGAACTCACTGTGTTTTGATCCACTACATGGAGACCTGGTTTATACTGTAGCGTCCAAGTACAAACAAGTGACACATGTAACCCGGTGTGTTTTGATCTACTACTTGGAGACCTGGTTTATACTGTAGCGTCCCAGTACAAACAAGTGACACATGTAACTCACTGTGTTTTGATCTACTACATGGAGACCTGGTTTATACTGTAGCGTCCCATTTCAAACAAGTGACACATGTAACTCACTGTGTTTTGATCTACTACATGGAGACCTGGTTTATACTGTAGCGTCCCAGTACAAACAAGTGACACATGTAACTCACTGCGTTTTGATCCACTACATGGAGACCTGGTTTATACTGTAGCGTCCCAGTACAAACAAGTGACACATGTAACTCACTGTGTTTTGATCCAATACATTGAGACCTGGTTTATACTGTAGCGTCCCAGTACAAACAAGTGACACATGTAACTCAATGTGTTTGAATCTACTACATGGAGACCTGGTTTATACTGTAGCGTTCAAGTATAAACAGGTGACACCTGTAACTCAATGTGTTTGGATCTACTACATGGAGACCTGGTTTATACTGTAGCGTTCAAGTGTAAACAGGTGACACCTGTAACTCAATGTGTTTTGATCCACTACATGGAGACCTGGTTTATACTGTAGCGTTCAAGTATAAACAGGTGACACCTGTAACTCAATGTGTTTTGATCTACTACATGGAGACCTGGTTTATACTGTAGCGTCCCAGTACAAACAAGTGACACATGTAACTCAATGTGTTTTGATCTACTACATGGAGACCTGGTTTATACTGTAGCGTCCAAGTACAAACAAGTGACACATGTAATCCGTTGTGGTTTGATATACTATATGGCATAACTTTGTACTTATTCAACCGTGGCAGTTGTGTCTGGGTCGACCGTGTGAAAAACAGCCATTTCACGGCCGATGTCCCAGATAAAATCTCAATGCATACAGATGTTATTACCTGTAAACTTAACAGGCCTTTCATGTATAACAATGGGTCTGTTTGTCGATGCAAATATGCTATAGCGGTACATCGGCTTCACAACAATAGCTATAATAATTAAATGTTTATAAAAATAATGGAAAGATCTTTTCAGAAGAAGAAGAATCGTGTCAGACAATAGTTCCCACCACCCTCGCTCTTCCCTCAATCGCTTATATGTACCAATTATGGAGTGAGGGCGTGATTTGATTAACGTGGAGACTCTTCATGATAGAATAGCATTGTACACGTTTGCACACATTTATTTGTCTGATGACGACCTGACGTTATATTTTACCTCACTCACTATTCCTGAACAGTGCTGCTGCTGAAGATGTTCCACCACAGAAGGTCCTCAAGTCCAAGAACTTCTACCTCCTGTGGCTGATATTTCTCTTTGGGGGAGAAGGGATTGTGTTTGTTTCATCACAATATAAGGTATATTTATTACAAAACAAATGTTTATAAAATCATCGGCCTTGAATTGTTGATAATTCTGATGTTTTAGCCATCCATTGTCACATTATTCAAAATGATAAAATCATTAATTTCGCTTTTTATGTTCATACAGAATTACGGACAGACATTCATTGATGATGACCACTTTCTGGCCATTGTTGGGTCTGTGTCATCAGTCTTCAATGCTGGGGGCAGCATATTCTGGGGATATATCATGGATCGGTTCTCCTTTAAGGTAATACCACTTCTTATCATATAATGGGTAGGTTGGTCGGCAGGATAAAGCCAACAGATAAAAACGATATCCGTTGGGGTCATATGCGGATAGAGATGCAAATATCAAAGGTCACGTAGGGACTACTTTCAGTGTTTATAAACAAACATGGCGTCGCCCTTGTCATTCGGCGATCGAGTCAGAATTAACCATCGGGAATCTGGATAATTTAAAGGGATAATTCTATCATTATCAAAAGAACAGTCTAATATACTGAAAATCAGTGTCTTAACTGTTACGTAGCTAAGGCACAGCTAAGTTTTGGCCACTTTGGAGATATAAATTTCAAAACAATTTTGCGAGGGCACCTGGCCCAGCCAAGCGGGATCAGTAGCCATATCTGTGTTTGAAATCTTTTCCAAAAATTAAAATATTTGGATTTGGCCGAAATATGTTTGAATTGTTACCTTTGTATCGTTTTGTCGCTGTGTGTACGTCTGGCTGCGCTTAACGTTATGACAGGACAGACCGACTGTCAACAGTCTGAACGTGGCCGTGACGTCTCATAGAATAGGGTTAGAGTTGCTTCCCTTTGACAAAGGGCAGTTACTCTAGCGGACAGACCGATGGATTGCCGCGAAAGGCAAGTAAAAACAATATATGTTGCTTCGACATGTATAAGATATTGGCTATATTGGAACTATATGAGCTACTGTCACTGTCCGACTGACACATCTCTTACCCTGTGACGTAATAAATATTAATGAGCGCATTCCAGGAAAACTCGCAATGTTTAGGTAATGCTTGTGAGTGAGGGGAAGCGATTTTCAAGCACAGAATTGAAGAATGACATTATATGATATCGCCAAGGCTCGCTAAATACAATGTTTGTTCCTAATGCAGGATATTTACCATCCCCAAACACACTTGCGTGATAACCTCTATATAACCTGCTTTATTTAGTGTCAGTCAAGGTAAAGGTATATACTTAAATAATCGATTTTGATAAGTAGGCAATTTATCTAATTATATCGAGCAAATTAGAGGAAAGGTAACAAGAAAATGGAAGGTTCAAATAATTAGAATGTGAAACTGGAATCAATTAAAATATATTTGATATCGGAAAACAAATAAGAGGTGTGAAAATGTATAAAAGGGAATATAAAATGAGTGCTACTTCTTAGCAGAATCAAGAAGGAAACTGCACCTTTTGTGTGAAATATTTATCCTGATTACCACAGATTACCAGCTGAGCTTCGGCTTACAAGTGAGACTTACAAATGACAATATTTCATAGGAATCCAAACTAGGGAGACACCGCCTGTACTGATTAATTGGCTTTGTTTTGAATGACATGACCTTAAGTCTTCCTTTATCATTATCCTTTGTTAATTTCCATTATGATATATGATCGGTTATACATGGCCTTTTCATGTGCTGTTTTTTATTACCAGATTGCAGCCCGATGTATATATATTGCCTTCGCCTGCCTCATAGCCTCGTTTCTGGGGTGTGAGTATGCTGGGAGGGTGATGTTTTTCATCTGGGTGTGCCTCATCTTTTTTGCTTTCTCCGGAATCTTCGCTATCATGCCACCTGCCATTGCCAGGATGTATGGGAACACGTATGTCGGAGTCAACTTTGGACTTCTTTTCACATCCCAGGTAAGGCAATATAATAGATTCGTTGACAAAATATATCCACAGTTCCCCATGCTTGCAGTGAGATGCGGGTAAACGTGACCTGACAAATCAAGCTGCCTGAAGGAGTAAATTGTATGTCTCTGATTATAAACATTCTACCATTGCTGACTGCAACCTTTAGTCACACTTAAAGCCTTAATCATACGTTGGTGCTTCTAACACCAATAAGACATAATTCCTGCATGTTTCATTAGTATTTATTTTGTTACTTTGTATGAGATTAAAGGATTAATTGTATAGATGCACATTTTCGCTGGCACCGAGAGTCTAAATTATCACTTCTTTAAAAGACGGTTTAAGCTGAAGCTGTACAGTGTAAACCCGAAATCGATTCCACACATCAGTGAAAATGTGAAACACCCCTCTTGCTTACCCTGTGGTAATATATCTGACGTTGATCTCAGGATCTGATACTTCTAGTTGTGCTTAGATGACCAATATGTCAACTATTTGACTTGCTGTCTCATCAGATCATAACTGGAGCCACAAGTGCCTTCCTTGGGCAAATCCTCAAAGATTCCATTGGCTGGCATGGCTTGTTCTTTCTGTCAACTGGATTCACCGCAGCCGGTAAGACATCAATAAAACCCCATGTATACGAAATTATGACCTGTAAAAGCATTATACATTAAAGTTTACACCCCGCTGTGTAACTCATTTTAACTTGTCTCAAACTGCTGTCCATCTCGAACATCTTACAACCTCTGGTGTATTGCATATATCGACTTTTCGATGTTGATTCTTACACCGTTATCAAGCTAGTTTGCTTTGTGTAGTCATTCTGGCTTGATAGGGGTGTGTGAATCTACATCGTTAACCTCGCTATATGCAATATACCCGAAGTTGTTATGCATTAAGTTGTTACCTTATGTACTCAGCAACTTCTATAATGCCAATCAAACAGTCAACAGTTTTACACTGCAAACTATTGTCTTCTCATCAGACAGAAAGATCCTATCTGACACGTAAACTTCGCCCCTTTTCTTTTCAGGATTTATCATTATATTTTTCCTGAAAACGAAAACATCATCAGGGGATGATTTCTGAAGGGAATGAGACTTCCACCATTGCATCTGTAACCAGCTGGGTCTACATCTCTATACGATCAAACACAACGATATTCATGCATATGTGGACAGTTTCATGTGTGTCTATACACAATAATATGTATAAAGTGAGTCATGTATACCTATATGAACATTCACTTTGAACCTTGATTTGAACGATGTATGAGCAGTTTAGATACACGTAAAAGATGTAATCGTACGGATGTGTAATTCATACTTTTAGTAATTATCTACATACGACTGTTTTATTGCTAGGAGTGAGTGAGTGAGTGTGGTTTTACACCACTTTTCATCAATATTCCAGCAATATCACAGCGGGGGACACCAAATGTGGACTTCACACATTGTACCAATGCAGCTGGGAACGATCCGGGACTTTGGCGTGTCATGGTAGGAAAGAAAACAAAACTAGCTAGGTGTACATCCATTGACACAACAATATATATGCATATGTAAACAGTGCCATGTATTCCAATACAAACAGTGACTTTGAAGCTAGATTTGAATGATGTGTGAGAAGTTTAGATCACTCTTACACATAACAGTTAATATCATACGTACGTGTAGTTTATACCTTTAGTAATTTCCTATATACGATGGTTTCATGGTGGAAGTGACTTTGCGAGTGTGTAAGGTTTTACGCCGCATTTTAGCAAAATTCCAGCAATAGCACGGCGGAGGACACCAAATATGTTGAGTGAGTGAGTTAGAATTTAACGTCGCATTGGCAATATTTCAGCCATATCGTGACGAGAACTTAGACATAATAAATATTTATACGGAATAAAACCTGTCAGCGATGGACAGTATAATAACTAGAGTATCACAGTTTCGATTCTGAACAGGTTGCCCAATACGGTCGTCTTTTACGACCAGCAATGGGGTGCTGAGGACACATTCTTATCTTCCATGGGTTCCCAAGGGGGCACCAAATATGGACTTTACACATTGTATCCGGCTAAGGGAAAAATCTGGTCTTCGGTGTGTCATGGTAGGAATGAAAACAAAACAGGTTACAAGGTTTGTTCTTTAGAATCCCCTTGGGAATCAGTAAGAAAACGTGTACAGTACAGAATACACCACTGAGAGCAGTGGACAATCAAACAGTGATTAACGCTATGGTTCAACAACTGAAGATGACATTTTGTTCACAATGGTGCCGGCTTATAAACCACATAACATACTGAGGTGTCATTCAGCAAAACTATTACGTTGAATGTTCAAAAACTATAACGGGATTTCATTGTAGCTACAAAAATATTAAATAGCAATTCAAACATAAATACCTGATATATCATTTCATCATGTTTGTTGTTTGTTTGTTGTTTAACGCTGCACTCGGCAATATGATGGCGATTTTGTCAGTAATCGAGTTTGGACCAGGCAATCAACTGAATCATATTTGGAGCATCCATCTACACAATTGGGATACGATGACATGCATCAACAAAGTTTGAGAGCCTGACCACCTGATCCCGTTAGTCGTCTCTTACGACAAGCATGGGTTGCTGATGAGTTAAGAGTATGTATGGCATGGAAGTATTTCAATATCCTATTCAAACATATAAATAGATGTTAAACTTACACAACATAATCAATCTCATGTAATGTAAAGTAATCAACCTTTTTCATATATTAAAGCAACAAACACATGTTCATGGTGTTCACGAGAAGGTGAACATATCCTTCCTCACTGGAGGCAACCATCACAAATACATGCAAAGGCAAGTCAGTTGTTAAATTACAAAAGACAGGAACATAAGGTACACATAGGGAATTGCATAGGATATAAGTTGTGTCACTGAGGCGTCAAATTTGGAAATGCCAAAAAATGTATTGACATAAATATGTTAATATAAGCTCCTAAACTCTTTAACAAACACATATTCGTGACATTTTCCAATGTTCATATCTATAAATGTCCTCCGTGTTCTGTCGGTGTATTGAAGGCATCGAGGTTGTCTGAACAAGGGAAATTGGTTTCCACAAGCCTGTTGTTAAGTTCTTGTTCGGGGCGGACGTTTGTATATGTCGCCAACACCCGCCCACCTTTTCTTGGAAGGTTCCTCAGCATCTGCAGCTATAAAGAAAAGGGGTAGGGAGGGTTAGGTAGTACTGTTAAGAAGTTGCTGCCTGAAATAATCACGATAATGAGACGTAATAGTCTCGTGTTCTTACATTGAATATGCCTTGCATAGTCGTTTCAGATATAATGAATACTATTAATACGTTACATAGCATGTAGATGTTCCACGCGTCGCCGTGGAACAGAAACCATGGATTACAAACTGCTACCGTACATAAATGAATATTTTGGTACACGTGTAGCTGTCAGGATTTCGGGGAAGGATAGATTCGCAGTTCCCTACGCTTGTCGGAAGAGTTGCCTAAAGAAGACAGTCTGGTCAGGCTCGCCAGTTTGATGGTGTCACCGTGTCTTATAAGTGATCGTTACTTGCAGCCACTGACTCAGTTATTTACAGGCTGTCGACATATAGCTAAAATAATGCTGACGACAGCGTTAGAAAAAAATCACTCACTCTCTCATTCTGATATCCTACAAATGCTCCATATAAAATAGCAGGAATGTACTGGAAGCGGAATCCGTAGGGAAAGACGGCTCCTTTGAACAATTTTAGTTATGCTAGTAGCGGACTACACAGCCTGAAAATTGCTGAAAGCAGGTATTTCATCTCAGGTATACATACAGCAGAATCTGTATTACTGTTACATATTACCTCTGGATATATACTTGCAAAGAATTCTAAGCCCAGTAGTCACGGCTGGTATAAGGGACATCAAGAGAAAATGTCTCATTTATCATTTCTTGGTTACGATATAAAAAGCTTCTCGTTTCTACATGTATCCTATGAACATCAAATACAGATCAACGTCATCCACAGGCGGACGTTCCATGACATACCCTTCGTGAACTCAGCTGTAATGGTTGCCTCATAACGACCCATAGTACTGACTCCGAGCATGGCGGAGACGTGAGCGAACCCTCATATATGAAGAACTCTTTACTGTGGGGGAGCAGCAGGAGGGGCCTTATAGTCGTCCTGAGTTTCGCATCTGTAGGAGGGAATATACATCATAACACATATACCATGTATAGGACGCTACAAACATAGAAACATTACATGTGTTGTAAACAATATTGTATGTGGTAATTACAATGAAACACAATATAGGGCTGGGCAATACAGTTATATCAAGTAGTTTGTGTAGTACAATGGAAGCGACCTTTGAAGATCCGGGGAAGAATAGGTTTTCAGCAACCCAAACATGCCGTAAAAAGCGACTATGCTTGTCATAAGATGCGACTAACGGGATCGGGTGGTCAGGCTTGCTGCATCATGTATGTCATCGCATCGCAATTGCGTGGATTGATGCTCGTGATGACAATCACTGGATTGTCTGGTCCAGCCTCAATCATTTACAGACCACCGTCATTTTGCTGGAATATTGCTGAGTGCGGCGTAACACAACAAACAAACAAACAAATAAAGTGCAAAGCATATCTTCTTTGATACACTTATAGACAGTGATATTTCATATTCTGAGTTGGTTTGGTTCGCACGTAACATAAACACTGTACCGTTTGCCTTTAACCTCGACACCAAGCGGACATATCTTCTTAACTCGCTGTTTGGTGATGTTCTTGCTTTCTAAAACAACAAACGCGATAACTTGCCAAATAGGTACTGGCTATTACCACAAAAAGGACCCTTATATACCTTTTCCTTGTTTTTCCCCATAGAGTGGATCAATCTTTACAGTTATCAGGCATGATGTCATCCAAAACATGAGACAGGGATACTACACCACTTTCTTACAGTAATCTAAAAAATGTGGTTTACAAAATGAAAATACAACATGGAACGTGCTGCTCGCCTGTATAAGGATAGCAATAACGACAAGTCCATCCGGTTTTGACGTCGCCTCCACTATACCGCTATACTTCCTGTTGTAGTGCACCAGATGGACCTGAAACAGCGACAACATAGCAGTGTAATCCTCACGAAAATAAGGAACTATAAATTCTTTATTATAACAACTAGATCATTTGTTTTAGGGTTATTACATATACATTAACATAACATTTATTCCATAATACATATTACATTTCTGTACACATTAACATTAGTATCTTTCTTTTAATAATTCAGGGGGTTTTTCCAGTCTACATTAACAATTCACATATATAGATCTCTACAGCATATCCACTTTAGCATTTAGCTGTTTTCAGCTAATATGAATAGCGTCCTGATGTGCCCTACCTGCTCATATCTCAACATTCATCTGCCACGTCAATACTAAATTATTGACAGTTATGTCTCTCTATTTGTTCGACCGCCTCCGTGGTCTAGTGGTAGAGCGTCCGCCCGGAGAGCGGAAGGTCCAGGGTTCGATCCCGGGCCGCGTCATACAAAAACACGTTAAAAGATTGTACTTGTTGTTACCCTGTCTGGCGCTCGGCATTAAGGGGCTAAAACAAGGACTGGTCGGCTCGGAGTCAGTATACTGTGTCTGAGTGGGGTATTCATGTTAAACTGCGGCATGGTATCTCAGTGAGCTAGCACTATAAATCAGCATGAGTCCGGACTAGTACAAGCAGCCACACACACACATACACGTGCATGCACGTCGCTATATAAGTGCAATAATCTTGGACGCGACGTTAAACCCAATTTCACCTCACCTCACCTCTATTTGTTCACCATAGCTGTTTACAGGCAGTATGGGCTGTATCCTTCTTCCACCAACATGGTAAGTAACAATTCACTAGATGCAGTCAACCTGCTTCTGGACAATGTTTACTCGCTGCTCGGGTCCCGTTTAATGATTAGAGAGTGGATGGGTCCCATAGCATTGGCTGAATTGGGCGATCGTTTTGAGCAAGGGTGTGGAAGAATGTGCCATAGGACATCATCCGCAAGGGTTTCTGGGCATCGTTGTTTTGTATAGTTTATTGACATTGTGAACGGGAGAGATGTACAGGTTATACAACCTTAGGAAGCCCTCTCTGAACAGATTTACGCTGCACAAAAAACAAATCAAGTTTAAGTTAGGGATAGCCTTGTGAATTCCACCAATAGGGGAATATCATCATTATAAAGAATGGCCTCAATGTATATCAAAATAATCCGTTACTAAAGGCAGGTTCTGGGACTTTAAATTCAGAGACTGAAATTCCATGTCCATACCTAGGCCTTTCCTCCATATTCATTCCCGAGGTTAACAAGAACTTCCAGCTTGTAACATTCCAGAAGCAACCTTTAGTAAAGTAGTTCCTGATGCCACATGTGACTCATTGCATCCGCCCGATTTCGTCGTTCGCCTATCTCTGACCTAGGTTCACCCACTCTACCTACCTCGGCCCCGTATCCTGTGTGTTCCAGCCAGTGTTCGGAGCCTGTGTCCCCTGTGATGCCAGCATGGTAGTGTATCTCCCCCAGGAGGAACGTGCAGCCCTGACGACGGGGTACGTCACTGAGAGAGAGTCTCCTTTTCGGGAAGGTCATTGTAGCTGTTTGTCCTGTGGATATGTAGGAGACATTGAATTGGTATTGAAAGAGAACATGTCCCTGTCTTGCGTTCCGTATCTTTGTACTAATACTTCTGCCACAAAATAGTCCCTGGTTGGAAATAGGTCGTATCCCTTTTATAAGCCTGAAAACACTATAAAATGTGCTCTTCTGAAACACTGACGAATCGAGTTTCAAGAAATATAAATCCGAATGTGCACTTGTCACTTAAACATGATTTATGGTCTTGAACATGAACTCGATGATAGCGTGTACAACACAATATAGCCGTATAAAAAATAATCACACCCTCCATACATATAGACAAGGAATGACACATGCCATGTTGGTCCTTATTCAAGATTTCGCACTCGGTTCGAATCACAGCTCTCTATCGCATCAAATATGAATGTCACTTGTTCCAACCTTTGGTACTTGATAACAAACCATAAGCTGCACAGTCGTGTTAATCTGTGGTAACCTTAACTCGTATTTATTTTAAAACAACCATCAGATCTCAGCAGACGTTTCTGATATTGGTCTTGGACACCATTGTTGCAGGGGAACCTACAGAAATGATGGCGTAACAATCTGAGATGAGTACAAGTCATTTGACATCAAATATGATGTCCTCATCAGTTAATCACACTGGTGTTTTGTATGACTGGAGATTGTCTGTGGTCGGCGCATCTGTATTCCTGAACGTTAACATTCTGTTATTCTATTTTATTGCAAACACACGTTCAGCATGTTGTTCGTGGTATGGACGTGTCGATCTATATGGCTAGAGGTAACTTATATATTCAGCTAACACCAAACTGAAATCCTACCATTGTTATATGTGACTGACGATACACTTGCAGCCTGAGACTGACTGTATGTGAGAGTGTAGGGCTGACCACACGCTGCGCCTCGGGTACTCAGAGGTACGGGAGACTGCTTCGCTCCCCCACAGCAGGTTGAGATCCGGTGCCACCGCAGTGGACCTGCAATATTAGCATAATTAGCCCATTTTGAGTGTGTATCATATAACTATTCATACATGCTTTTGTCGATATAGGTATTACTTATATCGAAAACATTTGACAGAATTTGCTTTCTGCAATCTCTTTACACACACACAAAACTGTCCCTTCTCTGTCACTCTGACCTGACTCTTCTGAAAAAAGGAACAAAATTGTTCATCATCAAATTTCATAGGTAAATACTACATAATCTGATTTTATATGAACAAGTAACGAGGCATAATTATAAGTGCTTGACTGTCAATATGTTTTTGCGTGTCTGTTTGTTGTTTAAAGCCGTACTTAGCAATATTCCTGCTGTATGACGGCGGTCAGTACATAATCGAGTTTGGACCAGACAATCCAGTGATTGACATCATGGACCTGTCAATATGTACAACTGATATATATTCAATACTTTGAACAAGGCATATATGTGAATACCCCATACTAATCGGGAATTTATATAAATCGCATGATTCTATTTTCCCTTCTCTGTGGACGTGGATGAAGTTTTAATAAAACTGATATGAATAATTTATTATATAATATAGATAAGGTCACTTTCGATATCAACAACATGTCGCGATATCAGACTTATTGGTGTATTACGGCTGATATTCCGTTGGTCATAGTGTTCTCACATTTATATATCAAATTGTTCCATTAAATTCAACTTTGTCTTATATCTTGAATTTTCTTAACTTTGTCTATCCACAAATGATCCACTTTGAGAATTAAATTGGTTCACTGAGAATGCCTGCTAGAGAAATAAAAGCGACAAAAGCCTTTCCATATCCATGAATAGTATCTGCCAAAAGCACAGTCGAGTGTGCGAATCCGTCAGTATTATGGATCATTATCAAATAGTGTACAGCAATTTAAGGTTTCGGAAGACGACAAGATCATCTTGTGCAAACTTGTGAAAATAGGTTTCCCACATTCCGAGACTCAGCAGGCGAAACCAGCAAAATGTATTGCTATATGAACTTCATCTTTCTGTTTCACGGGTTTACGTGTTGAGTGAGTGAGCGAGTATGGTTTTACGCCGCTTTTAGCACTATTCCAGCAATATCACGGCGGGTGACACCAGAAATGTTTTTCACACATTGTTACCATGTGGTGAATCGAATCCGGGTCTTCGGCGTGACGAGCGAACGCTTTAACCACAAGGCTACCCTAACGCCCTGACTGACATGACGACTCTTTGGATAAGGACTTTAAAGCTTATGATAAAGGAAGTAAAACTTGTCTCTGGTCACTCTGCGGAATTCTCTGGTCACTCTGCGGAATTCTCTGGTCACTCTGCGGAAAGTTCCTTTACAATATCATTCAACCACGCCTTTGATGTCGGTTTAATCCAAACAATCCTTCTTGCGCCAATCCTATTGTCAGATAAGTACAAAGAAGAAATGAGAAATCTCTCCCTTTTGGAATTTGTTTATTTCATACTTATGCTTTTATTTACATGTGCAACTTTACGTGCAGAAAAGGTACGTGAACAGGGTTGTATGTTGTCCACTGCCAATAGTTCCATCAACTGACTATTCTACGATACATAAACATTGGTAAGTATAACTTACAGTACAACGAGTAAAAGGTGACTATGCTTGTCGTAAAAGGCGACTAACGGGATCGGGTGGTCAGCCTCGCTGACTTGGTTGATGCATGTCATCCATCCCAATTGCGTGGATCGATGCTCATGATATTAATCACTGGATTGTCTGGTCGATTATTTACAGACCGCCGTCATATAGCTGGAATATTGCTGAGTGCGGCGTTAAACAACAAAACAAACCAACCAATACAGAACAACGCGGGGATAATGCCACCTTTTGTACATTAGACAAAATGGAAAAATAACCACGTTGGCATTATAGTAAAGTGATGTCATTGAATATTGAATGTCTGTAGATATATCCATGGTATTTCAACATACTCAGTCGATTACTGATATTACCTTGTCACCAGCTAAAACACAGGGTATTTTGATTTATAAAATGGATTTAACGAATTAGATTACCAAAATACCCAATATATATGGAGAATATGTTTCTCTATGTCAACTACTAGGATCTTGTCTAGTGTTTGTTCAACATTTCAACTGAACTGGCCAGACTTATGTCCCGAGATCATTCATATGACATTTGAAAGTACTATTTATTGCCTTTTACTTTATTTATTTCTACAAAAGTGTCTACCGGTACCTCAAGCTTTCTTTTGAACTATGAAGTATTATATGAAATAATGTCCATCAACTCTATATTTTACTACATGTTATTTTTGTTGCCTTATTTGAAGCCGTACTATTGCAATATTCTATCTAGCCTACCATGGCGGCCTGTAAATAGTGGAGTCTGGTCCAGACAAACCAGTGATTCCAATCATGGGCATCGTCCCAGAGCATCTGAACCCAATGACACGGAATCAACTAAGCCGAGTTGGATACCCGACCCATCGTCTCTGACAACGTTGGTAACTGGGAACGTGATGCTATATCCTCTTTTACTATCTAATCCCCACTTGGTACAAATACATAGCAACGTTTCACGCCTTCATAACATGCTTTTTAAGGCTATTGCTGATTCTGCCATGACCTTCTTAAACTCTGTCAGATGTTTCGACAGTGGATTTTTTTTATACCCCTTGTTCCCAAACCAGATACTTACCTTGGAATACCATCAAACCTTACCTTTGGCTGGGCCCTACCCAACAGCGGTAAAGACACCTTGGTGTTTGTAAACTCATAAATGTAACAACATACAGATTCAAAGGATAAATGATACTGTAAACTCCTTTCTAAACCGATTTACTTTTTGTGAAATAAATGGTTAAAAATACATCAAAGATTGTCAAAAGAACCTCTTGCGGTTTACATACCATTCGATGCGTACATGTTGTATCCGAAGGACGACTTCGACACCGACCCCGCCGTACACAGACGCAAACGCGGCTCTGCATTGTACGTATAAGAACTTCTGTACGATGTAAAGCCATGAGAAGGTCGGAGAAAAATCACAAACAACACACTCAACGTTTCCATTTGAAAAGACACACAGCAGCTAGAACATTCTACTGCTTGCAAAGAATTCAACGGGGGAGAAAAACATCCCTGGCAAATAGGATATGCGTCATGACAAATGACGTTACCGTTCTGCATCATGTGCAACGAATTGTTTACGTCAACTTTGAATTCTAGATCCTGAAACTTGACGGGACATCTGTGGATCAAAGATCAGGGTGTAAATGTTGTTTACTGTCCCATTCATCTTACAACTTCGCTGACGTGACAAAGTGGTGACATGCTGTTCCGTGTTAATGCACATGCAGCAACAAAATGATATATGACGAGATCACCAAGCGAAAATAGCCACACGTATTTTCCTGGCTCTACACCGGTTATTCATGTCAGGCACTGTCAACATGAAACATGATCTGGTGGGTGGGAGTTGTAACCTGGAACATTGCTACATAGGGAACACAGCTATAAGCGTTTAGTTGGGTTTTATACCAAAGGTACACAGTAAGTGAATCGGCCAAAATGAGAAAACAGTCCAGAGAATTGTACAAAGTTATTGAGTGACAGGGGCAGATGGTTCGTAAACAGCTTATTTACAATATATCCTGCCTGGTTGATTGCACGTGGCAGTGGTGGAGAGAAGGGGTATCCCATGCAGAAGGGGAATGTCCGAGTAACTCTCCATTCCCTAAAAATAATGGAGCAGAGGCCCCCCGTAAAAGCCTTAAAAGCAAAAAATATTATGTTTATAATGTTGTTACAGCAGGCTACTACGTCAATGATCATATTTAAAGCAAATAGATTCAGGTCTCAATCTATCCTATAATCCCCGTCAGCATTTAATTATAAGCGATTGATGAAATATTACTTCAGGACCCCACGAGACCCGAGAAGATCCGGGGAAGAATAGGTCTTCAGCAACCGATGTTTGCCGGGAATGGTGACTATGTGGAATACTCCGCTCAGACACAGTATACAGACTCCGAGCCGACCAGTCCTTCTGTTAGCCCCTAATGCCGAGCGCCAGACAGGGTAACAACAAGTACCATCTTTTAACGTCTTTTTGTATGACGCAGCCGGGGATATATGTACATGTATATGTTTATATGAGACTAACGGGATCGTGTGGTCAGGCTCGCTGACTCGGGTGATGCATTTCATCGCTTCTCAGTTGAGTGGATCGATGCTCATGATATTAATCACTGGATTGTCTGGTCCCAACTTGATTATTTACAGACAACCGTCATACAGCTTGAATATTGCTGAGTGCGGCGTTATACAACAAACAAACAAAAGGACCCCACGAAATTATGATGAGCCGTGTATAATGCATTTTAAATATCAGTTCACGAGGGATCTTGGTGCACGTGCAACAGCGGCAGAAAACGTATTCCTCGTAAATCACGCAAGGGCGACTCACACAGAATAAATACAGCCGACAAAGAGTTCTGTTGAATTAAGCAAATAATTTTCCACGAGACAATGTTTGGTCAAAGTGTGAAAGTGGGGATGTGTTTTAAGTAGGGGAATATCCTTGTACCAGGTCTCAACTCTATTATTTTTAAGAAAAGGAGCGATTGACGCCATAAATTTGTTTTTATTCATGAAATCACAAAAACTTTACAGCATGTACTTAATGAAGAATGTTTACGTAGCATTGTATAAGTAAACGTAAAATGCAACTGAAAAATCGTTTTTTGTTATCTTTCACCTGAATTTTTCATGTTTTCTTCTGTTTTGTTTGCCAATTGTATTCAGCAGGTGTCAACAGGGATTGCAAAATGACAAAGGAACGAGCCTTTATTAAAGTGTAGTAAAACATACAAGCTTTGTAAATATACTATTGCTGTTAGTAAATTATGAGAAGAAGATTATTTGAATAGTAATGTCTACTAACTGATTAGTAAACTGCCCTAGTCAATGATAGGCCACATGTACTAGTCTAATTAGCAAATATTTACTAACTGATTAGTGAAATATCGTAACAAGTTAGTGCCTGAGTGGACAGTGCAATTCACTAATTACGTAAGTAAACTAAGCAAACTATTTCGGTCAGTGAGCAGTTTTTGAGGGCATTTCGTTCTTTGACATACACAACATAGCAGGGGCAGTGTAATGATGGGAGAGTGTCCAAGCAGCAATCAATCCGATTATCCAGTATATATCAACATTCTATCACAAACAATTCGCCGAAGGGACGAGTTCATTCTTTTGGAATCAATAGATTCGGGTTATTGCTGTGACTTTAGGGGCGGTGGGAAAGCCTAGTGGTAAAAGCGTTCGCCCGTCGTGCCGAAAGACCTGGTTCCATTACCCACATGGCTACAATGTGTGAAGCCCATTTCTGGTGTCCCCCGCTCTGATGTTACTGGAATATTACTATTCCCTTCAAGGTACTCCCGGAATGAATCTGTGGTGCCGATAGCTCTGATTACTCCTTCGATGATTTCAAGGCCTGAATAGCCGAGTTTCTTTCCGGAGTCAATCTATCGGAAAAGGTTGATGAAACGTATACCAAGTTTTCCATTGATCAGGCAATGCGCCTTAACATTTTTTTCTCAGGGTAGCTTGAAGTGGGGGATTTGGCGCACCTGTTTGTGTTACTTCAGGCTTGGTTTTGGGCGGTCGGGTAGCCTAATGGTTAAAGCGTTCTCTCGTCAAGCTGAAGACCCGGGTTCGATTCCCGACATGGGTACAATGTGTGAAGCCCATTTCTGGGGTCCCCAGCCGTGATATTGCTCGAATATTGCTAAAAGCGGCGTTAAACCATACTCACTCACTCACTCACTCTCTCAGGCTTGGTTTCTACTTTACATTGCGCGATGACGGACCCTGGTGTGGGCAACAATTTACCCTTGTTTTCCGTTTATATATCTGCAATTCCCAGTCTTTCCAGAATTTCAACCAGTTGGATCCGCCTTAGTCCGCCTCAGTCCAAATATAGGGCCCGCTCCTCTTATGATCTTATGATCCTGGCACACTAAACCAAATGTTACTCAGCTCATCAATAACTTATATTGACTGAAAACACAATGAGGAATTCGGGTCATTATTTCCGTATTCGTAAAAACATGGCTGGCAAAAATGTATTGCTGTCAAGTTTAAAACTTGGCGTGGCGCTACGGATATAACGTCCAGCTCAATCGTTACAATATGGTATCTATTTACCTGTTAAATTCTCTCTGTTCTCAACATCTATCTGACACAAGATCAGTATTAACTTTCGATGAACAGGAAAATAATAAATCCTATCATTAAAATATAATATTCATATTTACAATGCACGAATAGTAATTTTACTTCAAGGAACACGTGCTTGGAAATGAGTTTAACAGAAACTGTACTTGAAATATCAAGTGTTAGACTTGGAGATGTACTACAGAACAATGAGTGTACTATTATCAATTACAGATACCAGTAAATTACACATGAATTATAACAAATGGATTTTCAGTGGAAAACATCACAGTGAGAAGAATTATAACATTGAGCACAATTGAAGCGAACTGCAAATCACTATGTAAACAAGACAAGCAGAGTTGTCTCCCATACCCCTGGTAAAGATTCTGTTACAATGACAGTATATATATATATATATTTGTGTGTGTGTGCGTGTGTGTGTGTGTGTGTGTGTGTGTGTGTGTGTGCGTGCGTGCGTGCGTGCGTGCGTGCGTGCGTGCGTGCGTGCGTGCGTGCGTGCGTGCGTGCTTTTGTGTGTGGCTGGCTGTCTGTCTGTCTGTCTGTCTGTCTTTTGCCGATTTTATAGTGCTAGCCCACTGAGATATCCCATATAACATGAATATCCCACTCAGACACAGTATTCTGACTCCGAGCCGACCTTAATGCCAAGCGCCAGACAGGGTAACAACAAGTACTATCTTTTAACATCTTTTGGTATGACGCGGCCGGGACCCAACCCCGCATCATCCACTTTCCGGGCGGACGCTCTACCACTAGACATTCAACACATTCATCTTTTCTTTTGGTATATCCCTTTTGCATATGCCTCGACAACATCCGTAATGATTGGAGGTTTAACGATCGGATACTTTCAGATGACAAAAGACGCCATTCTTTCAGTGTCTTTTTCCATACCTTTTCTTCTCAGCTCACCAATGGTGGGCGAGTTTGATTTAACGTCACTTCGAACAGTTTCAGTTATGTCCTGAATCACGTCATGTCTTGATGTGGGCGAATGTCCCGAGGTGAAGCGGGTCCTAGAGGTTAACTACTTTGGTGAAACTCATGAGTGAGTGAGTGATTTTACGCCGCTTTAAACAATATTCATGCAATATCATGGCGGGTGACACCAGAAATTAGCTTCACACATTGTTCCCATGTCGGGAATCGAACACGGGTCTTCGCCATGACGAGGGAACGCTTTAACCACTAGGTAAACCCATAAGCATGAGTATGGTGCTGTCAAACTTAGAATCAGGGCCGACTTGAATTCGAACATATCATATACTTTTTCATAAGTACATGTATGTGAAATTAACGTTCCAAAGGTTGAGAATCATTTATCATGTTACGTATCAGAATTCGCCGTGCAGACTTGCGGCCATCAGGCCCGCCTGAGAAACTTATGATCGTGGGTTCTAATTCAAGTTTGCCCTGATTCTAGGTTTGTCAGCACCATGAATCTACTTGAAATATGATATATTAATGGAACAAGTTTAACGGAACAAGTGCCTGAAATTATGATCTCTGGTATGTATATGATTTTAGACTTTAATCCATAAAAATATATCAAGGATCTTCTTATTCTTTTTTATGGCCGAACAAAACTAAAACTAAATAATAGACACCAACAAGAGGTTTCACCACAATCCTTTATTTTTCAATTCATTTAGGTAACTCAATATTACATTCGCTTTCACTACATTCATCCCAAGTCCATAATGCGAACCATCAAAGCTCGTCATTCCATCCGTCATGTTAAAGGTATCGAAAATAGGAACTTTCCAAGCTCGCAGGAAACTCTCCATGTTGCCATTGTAGCGTTTAACGCTGTCGTACGACTGGGCCAATACTTTCGGGGACTTCAACGCACCCGGAGCATGACTCGCTGCCCACAGTACTTTTGGCCAAGGTCTCGTATTGTTGCGCATGTAGGACAGTGTTGGTAACAGAAACTTCTCTTGAACTTCTTTATGGTTAAAAAAATTGTGTGGACCTATACCTACGAAAAGTAATGACTTGCTATTTATATTTGCGACTCTTTGTTTCAAGTGCGGGCCGAATGTTGCAGAGAAGAAGTACTTCAGTTCCAGGTTAGCTGTGCCATTGCAGGCACGAAGCTGATACTTCAGATGCAGTCGGCACAATTTTTCTGTGAACATATACATTCCGCTACACACCTTTTTAACATCTGAAACACAAGATCAACAAGTCAAGACAAAGGATCAACATTAAAAATGTTTATATTATCAATGGAGCGGTTAATACAACAGCTGCTTCTGAACACAACTGAATCGGTCGTTAAACAACTGACATTGATACGTTTGTTTTCGTGCACGGTATTCCAAAAGAATTATCTCGAATATGTTTATTTCAAATAATGATCAAATCATATTTTATCGATTAAGCGTTTGACGTCTATGTGCATATAGGAAAGTATTCATAGATGTGTGAGTATGAAAATAATATATTCAGAAAATTCAGAAAAATAGCATTTTCCTCTGACGTGTTTCATTGATATCCTTAGTGATATAGTTTCATCTAATCGTATGTTTCCTTCTTTTCCTTCAACTTTGCTATGGGTGAGGGGAGGTGAAATGGGGTTTAACGTCGCGTCCAAGATTATTGCACTTATATAGCGATGTGCATGCACGTGTGTGTGGCTGCTTGTACTAGTCTGGACTGATGCCGATTTATAGTGCTAGCACACTGAGATACCATGCCGCAGTTTAACATGAATACTCCACTCAGACACAGTATACATACTCAGAGCCGACCAGTCCTTCTGTAAGCCCCTAATGCCGAGCGCCAGACAGGGTAACAACAAGTACCATCTTTTAACGTCTTTTTGTATGACGCAGCCGGGGAGCTATGTACATGTATATGTTTATGCGAGACTAACGGGATCGTGTGGTCAGTCTCGCTGACTTGGTTGATGCATGCCATCGATCCCATTTGCGTGGATTGATGCTCAAGATATCAATCACTGGATTGTCTGGTCCAGACTCGAATATTTATAGACCACCGTCATATAGCTGGAATATTGCTGAATGCGGAGATATACATAAAACAAAACCAAGCAAGTTCAAACCTCAAGATCTCACACAATGAATCATTTGAACTTACTCTGTGGTACATTTTCATTCATGGCTCCATCTTTCATATTCCCCGTAACAAGCAGCACCATAGCAGTATATACATGACGAACCAGAGAATCCCCAACAAACAGAAAGGTGCTACCACTGAGGATGCTGCAAGCTTCTTGGGGGCTGTGTTCCTTG